CCGGGTGGCGTGTCTCTTTAGCGGTGCCCCCCCTTTTTGGTTGTGGCTTTTAGGGAATCCAAAATTCTCCGGTGTCCAACTTAAGAGACAAGCTGCCAGTGGAAAGCTTTGGGGGCAGATTTTTCCTCTGATTGAATCTGTGGTGAAAACCGGGTTCAACCTATATTAGCCCTTGTGGTCTTAAATACCGAGAATGGACAAAATCCATTTCGCACCACCGTTCAGAAACCCTCACATGATTCCCCTGCACATGCCAACAAATAATGGTGTCCACCATCGTTTCAAAGTGGTACAGGAATTCGTCCATCCACAGTATCATTCAACTTGGGCCAAGTGAGTTGGCTTTTGGAGCGATGCTTGGCGGAAAAATATTTCGGGAGCTTGATAGGGCTGGGAAAGCTTGCCTTCTCGCTTGCAAGCCGTGAGTTCTGGTTCCCTTGAGGTGCGGAAGCTAAAAGTCCTTCCTACGGGAACGCTCGACGGATCACTGGTTTTGTTTGGCATGAAAGAACTTGTAGTTGGAGCACTATCTAAGGAAACCAGCAAATTCACATGAAGATTCTTGGATGGTCGAGCGTTTGAGCATCCAACAAGCTTCAAATCGGCCAAAGCAGGGGCCCAAGCCTGCTGTAGCAAGGGCCTGTGCACCACTTACATGGACCAGCATCGCAGTACTCGCTCTGTCGGGCTTAGTCCTGTGCACCCTGCCCATAAAGTAAGACGGGCTGTGCCAGGGGGAAGCTTGGCACGACAGCCGCGCCACCTTTGCAGCACCTCCACTTGGTATGCGAAAGGTGGCCCCAGCGTCCGCGGCCCATGTGGTTCTCCTGTTGCTAGGCTACTGGAGCTCAAGAACGGCAAACCAGCAAGCTATAGCCAACTAGCAAACCAGCAGACCATCCCAACCAACCAGCCGGCCAGCCAACCACCCAATCAGCCAGCCATCCAACCAATGCGTTGATGGGTCAAGGGCCCCATCTTGAAGGATGTCGTTTTGCTCTCGTACGAAGGGCAGTATGTAGCCCTAGTTAAAACGAGAGCGATCCTGTCGCTCGAATGCGCGGCCATAAGGCTAGGCTTCGTGTGCGTGCCGTGTTGCCTTTTGTGTTTCGATGGACGTTGGCCCAGTCAGGAGTTTTGCCAGTTGTTGAGTTGGCTGTGTCACCTGGGGCCGCCTATTTAATGTCCAAGTGGGTGTGGCTCAAAATTAAAAAGCTAGGGTTACGCAGGTTTTAGTCTTTGGTTCCATTTACCAAGGTGCCATTTTGGTATATTTTGTGAGCCACAGCCAAATGTCTGCTTTCACAATGTTTTCTGTTAGGCTTGTTGTAAGACAATGGCTGCACAGTGCGGCGCATGCCCAGTTGACTCGCACTCGGGTTGCCACACCCCTTGCTTCCCCCCCCCCGCCCAAAAATATGTCCACAGCTTTAGGGGCAGCCTTCCGTGATTATACTGGGTCTATTTTAGCAAGACATCTCAAAATTTTCGGTGGTTTACCAAGATGTGTTAGTAAGACCGCCGAAATGAACTATATTGTGATATATTGTGGTTTGAAGAGAAACTGGGTCCCAAATGCAGTATCGCGAACCACTCAACATGGTCACAGTTGAAGGATGCAGTTATACGGAATCGCGCCCTGGCAACTTCCAATCCCATCCGAGGATGGAGGCGGATTCCATCAACAACTTCAGGACTGCCGGGTGAACTGCGCAAAGGTGACTGGGAAGGAGCATGGATGAACTTAGGTTTGGTGGAACAAACAAGTTGAAATCTACTGGTTGCAGGTTGGTTTTCAATAATTGTCCAGTGCGTCCTTCCCAAAAGGACACCTATGCAGACTGAAAGGAGACCTATGCGATAAAAAAGAGGACAAGTGACCATTTCCGCGCGCCCCGACGAACTCCACGAGGGTGGAATACAAGCATGGTGTTGGTATGTCTTCCAAAAAGCAAGAAGAAGGATAACTCTAGGGGTACCTTCCCCATTTGTTTCCAGGGATCCTTCTTTTCAGGAAACCATCAAAATCGCAGGCGAAACGGCTGGCTTTTGAAACGAACGATAGTTGAATCTGAAAAGAATGGGCAAGGAATCAACCGCTGGAATAACAAGTTGTCTTCCGTGGGTTTCCTCGAACACAAGCCCAACATTTGAACCCCCAACAAAAACCCGAAGAACACATGTAACAAGTCGTTGGATCAGGTGATCCGCATTTTCCAGGAACATGGTCCGGGGGAAAGTGGGGGAAAGTGGGGGAAAATTGCGCCATGGCATGAGACTATTTGGGCAACGGATCTTTAGACTTCTACACTTTTTGGTAGAAATAAAGGTGTTTTTCTACTAAACCCAACCAACAAGTGGTCCACTTGTTGCAAGGGGGTCAACAGCAACCAAGAATTTAGTAAATACTACGGTTACAGTTCTTTGTCTGCTTTACCTGTTGTTAAGGTTGCAGATGGTCAACGACTTTTACGTACATATATTTTCATGCAATGCTTAGCCCACAGCGACACTCGGAACGTATTCCCCGCCGAAAAGAGTCCTGGAGTCGAGGACAACCTTTGGACCGTGCAGTGATTGTTGGCCCGTGGTAAGCAGATACCAAACAGTGAAGCCGACCGCTTGGTGGAATCTCACTACTTTCGTCGATGCATGGTACAGCCAAGTCTGGGGGCGCTTTCACTCGCAATCCATGAACCATTCGAGCAAGTTGTAGCATGCTCATCGAGGGACGAGCTCACTCACGATGAACGTCTCCTCTTGTTGTTTGTTTTGTTTTTGTTTTTCAGAGATCCTTGAAACACGGAACTGAAGCATCGAGACGGCCCCAAGATGCAGGCTTCCAGTAGCTTCGGTCATCGGTCGATATGGGATGAAAGTACCCCAGGTGCAGCGATGCAGTTTCTTTTTACCATCCATCTCCTTCAAGATCCCCCAGTAGTGCCCTTTTACCCTGTTTTTTGGGGAGGGTACCCCTACTAAAACAGACTATAGAAAAAAGTTGGTACCCTTTTTCTAACCTCTCTACTGGAGGCGTGACGCATAGTTTTGTTCTCCTCTTGTGGAAAGACAAGACTTAGAGGAGTTGAAATGCGAGACTACCGCCCACCCCCGAGACCCTTTGAGGTGAGGGCTGGAAAGGATTGCGCGCGATTCATAAACATATACGCAGCATGCATGGATAGTTGCATACATCATACATACCATCCCACCAATTAGCCTCCAGACAAGCTCTAGAACAAACCCTTTACATACCAAGTAGGGGTTGTGTCACGGGAAGGCCCCGCGTAAGCAAATCCCTGCACGCCGTAAGCCGGCGTGAGCTGACTGCTTCGCGACTTGCAATGGTTGAAGGCAACGGGCTTCAGTTTCAGCTATGATCTCCTTTCAAGTGCAACAACTGCCACTCCAACTCAACAGTCGGATCCAGCAAAGAGAGGCTCTCCGTGCCCTCCGACTCGCCGGACGCCTATGGGAGAAGCCGTTGGAGACCTGCACAGCACATTCAGGAAACAAAGGGGTCCAGGTGCGAAAGCAGGCGTTTGCGCAGGCGCGCAAGGCACGGCTGCCCGCTCGCCCACGCCAATGCGTGCGCGGAAGCTGTTCCTTGATCTGCAGTGGAGGCAACGCGAACTCTGGAGGCAAAGAAGTTGTCGGCCAATTCCAAAGCGCTGAGCAAGAGGGGTACAAAGCGAAAACTCTGGAAAAAAAGGACAGCACCAAGTTGATCCGCCTGAGAGCAATTTGCCGCCTCAGAGTTGTCCATGCTTTCTTGAACAGTGGCGGCTGCCTAGAAAAAGAGGAGCCCGTGTGAATAACTCGAGGGGAAACGCTCAAAACGCAGACGTGTAAACAACGGACAAGCTTGACATGCACGCTGGCTGCCGCTTAAGCTAAAACATGAGTCGCGTAAGAAAGCGCTAGCTTGCACATAAGCAACCTTCCACGACACAGGGATTGATGTCAATGTTCATTTAGAAATAGTCCCGTTTAGAGGAAACTGTTCTTTCAAGAACATCCCTGGAGTGTATCCATTCCCTGCAAGCGGGTGTCCACGCGATATTTTCAAGCCACCAGGTAAAGTTGGGGTATACCCTCGGGCTGGCACCTGTCCGTGAGGAAGGCCTTCAAAGGCTTCAGGCGCGTTCGGTCGGCGCGTGGCTTCCCTGAAGGCAAATCCCAAAATTTCCGGCCGGCCCGGATCAAGTTCAGACAGATCCGTCCTTTTTCGGGTCAGGACTCTATTATTCTTTTTCGCGAGCGAGAGCGTCCTTTTTCGGATCAGGTTTTTTTTTTTTTTTTAATGCTTCTGTTTTCTGAGCCAGAGTTCTCCCAGGCTTTTCCAGCTGCGCTGGCATTAAAAAGAAGACTTCCGGCTTTGCCTCAAGCGAGTTGACGCTGAGCTTGACAGTCGTCGCAATGCCATGCAAGAAACCCGAAGGCAAACGACTTTTTGAGTCGGCCACTTCCCCAAATCTGGGAGGCCGTTCTTGTCGGCGACATAGGCCTTCTTGGCCTGGGGGATAGGCCTAGCTGAATGGAACCATTGAACCCCCCCACTCCATGGATTTCCCCGAGCGACTCAACTTGAAAGTAGATGGCGCAAATTTCCCCCACTTTGGGGTGGTCACCCTCTTTTCTTGCCATCTACTTTCACCCTGATGTGGTTGGCCAAGTGCCCTCCTTCAGAGCCATGGAAAGTCGACCCCGAGCCGGGGGGTTGTCGCGTTTCAGATCAGTTTTACCACGAGGCCCGAGAAGCACGCAATGGTTTGTTTCGCGCGTTTGGCAAGTGGGTGCGGCGTTTTTGCCCTAAACACCCAGAAACAACGAGGCTTCCGGCCATGACCATTCTCATCTTTGCCGGGTTTCTCCAAGACTGGCGGAGCTTTAACTTTTCTCGGGTCTTAGATCCACGTTTCCTGGGAACCTTTCCTGAGTGCGGACAGCTGAGCTGCAGGGACCAGCAGCACGACCTCCTGGCCTTCCACTCCAACATGAAAACGGGGGAGGAGAAGCAAGACTCGGAATGAGGCGGGCTTGGACCGCTGGGCAACATGAGGCGACGTGCTTCAGTGAGGGTTTTCTTAGTGGTTCCCAGCCCTCGGGTTTCTTAGTTTTACGGTTGTTTTTTTCGGGTTTAGGGGGGGTTTCCGTTTAACCCACTACAAGTTAAACGCTTTTAGCGGGGGATCCGAAAACGGACAGCGCAGCTATGGGCACCTAGAAGGGATGCTGGAGTCGTTCCAATCCTAGCGGCAGGGCTCTAAGGGCCACGAGGTTGCCCTCGAAACAAATGGCTGTGGATCAAATTTAGGTAACCAGAATGGAACCCTTGTAAGAGGAAACATGGACAAAAAGCTGCAGTACCCTGAGGGGTTTCATTTTAACCCACAGCCAAGTAAAGTTTCTCAGAGGAACGGACCGCAGGTAGTTGGTCCTTGGTGCCATAGGGCAACCACCCAACTTGGGTCGTTTTCACCCACAGCCGTGTTTGCCTTTTGGTCGGGAGGGAGTCTTTCCGGCATCTCCCACGTCGACAAAAGGTGGGGTCGCTGGGCTCCGGCAAGTCGAAAGCAGAAAAGGCCAGTCGCAAGTTTGTGGGCAATATGGATATGGGGCCACTTTCTGTGATACCAACAAAATCCCTGTTGAAATGACACAGCAGTTTTAGGAATGCCCCACATTGGCATCAAAAGGGACTCTTTCCAGAACCATGCAAGTGCCCTTCCCTTTGCCACGAGCCGAACGCCAGGAAATTCCCTGTAAGGGATCTTCCACCCCTACCAAGCCGAGTCCGCTCTGACGGTCAGAGTTTCGGCATGGAAGCATGCCATCCGTCCGTGTGCGTCTGTGCGCACTGGGCAGGGCAAATGACAATTGGATCCTGATGAGGGGCAGAGACCTGCGCGAGACTTAGGATGCATTTACATGACGAAGCAGACACTCATCTAAAGTCCGAGTAGGTAGTCTAATTGTTAATGAATTTGGGGGAGACACGGCGAATTCACTAGATGTCCAACAACAGCCAAGGGGAACTCGCTGGCAATCCTATGTTCATTACAGCTATGGTTGACCGCTCTCACATGTACTCTCACATGTACTCTGCAGTTTAGCACGGAACCCCCCCAAACAACAACAATTAAAGGAATCTCCTTTTTGGGGGCTCCTTACAAGATACATTTTGCCCAGTTGAAACACGGCTTTTTCCACCAAATTGAAGGGACGCCACCATTTACAAAACAATGTTCAGGTGTATAATGTCAGGATCCCTGTTAAAGGAATCGCCTTTTTGGGGGCCCTTTCTTGGGGTGAATCTTGGAGTGTTCTTCAGGCGGGGATGCGTTCAGTCGGATCCGACGATGGACATTCGGGTTCCGGACAACTTTCCTCAGCTGTAAAAAGAAGTCTCTGAGCCACTGCGTGAGCTGCCTGGTGACGTGGGGACTATTTTTGAGCCCTGCCAAGTGGGAGGCACAACGCAAAAACTCGAAAGTGAGTCAAGCCGCACGTTTTCCGCACGGAGGGAACCACCAAAGGTGTCCTTGTTAGGTGAGCCTGGTTAAAAACAGATGGGTTCCACTGGTTTAGATGAGTTTGTTCCATTTACCAGTGAAACCCATCTATTTTTCCAACAGGCCATCTATGGGAAGCACCAAAGGGTTTTCACCTTGCAAAGCAAAGTGAACCCCGCTTGGCGAGCGATTGAGCTCGCCAGGCTTTATTCTCAAGGTGCGCGCGCAGTGCGCCGTTGGACCGCTTAGATGACTTGGATGAAGTCTGAGGGTTTGCCAGTCAGGAGAAGCTTGGTGACCCTTGGGGTACCTGCCCCAAGTACCTTGACATGTGTATTCCCCAAAAGGGTTGGTATTCCCAGTCAAAAATAGTGACACAACTTGATTGAGCCACATCTCACAACCTCAGAGTTTTGACAGGCATCACCAACCAAAGCTGGCATGTACCACCAAATTCCCGTGGTTTCGCATTAGGCGCGGTTCCACCCCCCTACTTACTTGGCATTGATTCGGAGGTGCTTTCTGAATCTCTACATGTCGTAGAAATGTGGGGGCCTGTTTTGGCGCCCTGTTTGGGTTTGCCCATGTTATGCAGGCGACCAGATTGAGATGACCCCACCGGCAACGCGTTGAACTGCCTTCACGGTTTGGGGTTAAACCATAATGCAAGGTTCGACACGCCAGGGCTCAGGGCACCGTGCCAGAGCCTTTTCTCGATTGACGAAAGTGGCTCACTTTGTGGCTCACTCAGGAGGGACTAGAATTGGAGCTTGAACTGTAGGTCAGTTTGTTTAACAGTAGGTTGCACTGGTTTCAGCTTGGCTCAATTCAGCCACCAACCTTATCTTTGGTCAAAAGGACGCCTAGGTGATGGAAGAGACAAATGAAAAAGCGGCTTCAGCGGCGTCTCTCACGGCAAGCTCTGCCAGTGGCAGTTAAATGCCCCCTGTGGTCTTTTCGCCGGACCTGCTCTCAAGGAGCGCACTCGGAGGGAAAACTCGGATGCAGCTCTGGCTGGCGCTCGGGGGTTGAAACGCCAAGTAATGCTAACCCCAATATTACTCCCCAGCAAGCCAACAGAAATCAGCTCGTAGAATGCTATTCAGCAACCACTGAGCTTTTGCGTTTCGTCTTTGAGGCGCCATGGTTCCAGGCGGGATGCCAGAAATTCTAGGGGTTGATTCCAATTCCATTCTTTTCAACCAGCGTTCGTTTCAATAAACAGCTGCTTCCCCTGGGGTTATGATGGTTTTCTGAGAAGGATCCCTGGAAAGAATGGGGAAGTGTCCCCCAGAGAAATGGAACGATTGCCCCTTTCAACACTCACTCTCTCATGTAAGCCGACACAAGCCGGCCGGCAGAAAGCCATTGGTTCGAGCCATCAACCAGAGCCAAGGCGGCAAGTGTGCCGCTCTGCCCAAGGCAAATCGCCGTAAAAGAGCCTTTTTGACTGGTCGGAAACCAACCAGATCTCAACAAGCCATTTCACTTCCATGCTAGTGATGGTTCATGTGATGAGTGTCTATGTTTCGCCCTTGGTTCACCTCTCAAATCGTCCCGAATCACTCAGCATACTGCGAAACCAGGGTATGCCCCTTGGGAGTCAGCGGCCAAGCAACACGCCGACTCCCCGAGTGACCCCGACTGACTGCCAACTGACGCCATGGGGCGCTGGCTTTGGGCGGCGGCCGCCAGCTTATCGGCGCTGGCGCTGGTGCAGCGCTCCAGGCGAAGCCGAGTCCGGTAGATGAAGGTCAGTATGGGACCTGGATTTTGCAGTGCCCTTTTACCGTGTCTTTTCTGGGGGAGGGTTTCCCTACTTACATAGTTTCTAGAAAAAAGGGTACCCTTATTCTAACCCCTCTACTGGAGGACCTAGGGACAGTCCCAACCAGAAATGGGACTGCGGATTGCAGCCTGTTTCATTCTGTACATTCGGTTCTGGGTTAACCATTTTTATGCCAGGTTTTGAGCGTGACTCAGTTGGTGTTCTCATTGAAGTATGTTTTGCATGACCAGGAACGCGACCAAGCCAGCAACTTTTTGCTGCAGTTGTTGTTTGCCGTTCCTTTTTTTGAATATTGCAAGTCAACCGGTGAACATGCATAACTTGCAGGGGTGCTGGTGCCTAGGGCCATTTGGACAGCTCAATGAATTCACCTTGCCAGCTTTGGCGTTCAGTGCTTCAACTTTTGCCTTTCGGAACCCGCGTGTTACTGGGATAGCGACAGAAAGGGAAGTCTGCCATCCTAAGCGTAGCCCAAGGCTACATGCGAACCGCGTTGTCTCCTCTTCTTCGGGTCACGGCCTTTGCTAAGACTACGGGGAGAACATGCGTGGCACAAGCCGCAAGGGCGGGGAAGCAAAGGGGATGACATCTGCACCGGACTTACCCCATTTGGCCTTTTGGATTTCCTTCATTTCGCTGTGGCTCAAACATATGTACTCAAATGGCACCTTTGCAAATGGGCACAAAGACACACATCTGCATGTTTTCCCAAGCCTGTAATTTTGAGCCGCGCCATTTGGCCTTTAGATTTCCTGGAGGACCTAGTTCATTCAGTGACCTTCCCTTTCAACCGCCACGGAGTTCTCGTTTTGGGCGCCTCGGTCTGGCGACGGAAACGCAAGGCCCACCAGCGCGGCGTTGTCCGCACTGGCAGCGGCCACCGCGGCGGCGGTGGCGCTGCTGCGGCTTGGGCTACGAGGTAGACTCAAAGCCAGGAGTCCCCCAAAAGGGGACATGAACCACTACCTTGGGGTAGTAAATAAAAAACGTGGCACCCTGGTCCCATCCCCAGCCTGCTTAAGAACGTTAAGCACTGTTGCATTTTCTGGGAATCTATGACCACTGGACATCATGATACTTTTTGCATTGGGCTTAAGCAAACGGAAGCACCCCAACATCAAGTCTGCCCGTGATGGTTCGGATTTGGACTTCAGCCCCTGTTTCTGGCAGAGGAAGAATGGGAAACCATCCCCTCCCAACCACCCATAGAAGCCACCAACCAGGGGCAGCTGATAACATGCCATTGCCCAAGGTTCACCACATATCCCCACCGCCAAGCGCTAAGGTGATGTTTGGTTGAGCAAAGCCAGGGTTCTCCAAATTCCCCTCGTGGCATTAAGAAAACACATCAGCCTTTGGGCCAGTTGAAAGTGAGAAAGAACGGACAGTGCCCCATCAAGTGAAAGCTTTAGGGAAGAGCGTTCAATCCAAGGGGGCAGCCTGGCAGCCTATTGTTCTGGATTTGTGAGTCATCGCTGGATATGAATCCGTCAAGGATCTGGCCCGTCTCACTCAGATTCTCAAGGACCCTTATACATGGAGTTTTCCTTTTGCGGATGTGTGGGGTAGTGACACTGGAATACTTAGCAGCTGAGCACTTTTTTCCCCCTCCCGCACAGACCTTTTGAAGAATGCCAAGAGCATGCCCAGAGTCTGAAGTTTTCCAGCTGGCTTGGTGGGTTCGTCAAACATGGCCGACCAAAATGTTGGTTTGGTGGGTTTTGCACCGCAAATGATCATCCAAACGATCTGTCCCTTTCTCCACGGAAGCTCCAAGAAAGTGACCCACCTGGAGTACCGGGGAGCAAAGGTGGATGCGTTTGTGGATCATACTGTGGATGGGCGAAATCCGTTCGCACCACCAAAGAAACCCTGGTTTCTGATGATTCCCCTGTAAATACCAACTAACCTTGTTTCCCATGGTGGTGCAGGATTTCGTCTATCCACAGTACAGCAAGGAATTCACACATGTTGAAATCCAAACAGTTTGCATTGGAATATTCGATTGTGAACATACACCAATCCAGGGGAGGGGTCTTCTTTCGACCCAGCAAGGTCCGGCCAGGTGTTTACACGTGTTTAAAGACCTGTTCTAGGGAGCCTCCTGTTGGCTCCCCATGAAAGGGTGGCCAAAGTCTGGTTGCTTATTCAAACGACTTGCTGGGACAAGGTAATGTAATCGTTTTTTTGTGGTTTCTGAATGACATATGTTCATTCCACCAACCCTCACAGACTCCGCTCTGGTGTCCTTTGTTGAACAACTTTGCTTCAAGTGAGTTTGAGGCACCTTTATTCTGAGCAGCCCTCGCTTAAACCAGGGTGAAAGTACATGAAAGTGTTTCCCTTTATGTCAGAAAGGGTCTGAAAGAGGATCACAAAGCCACGTGGAGGTTGTGCCATTTGCTTCCCTTTGCTCCAATGGACGAAGCCACCAGTAAAGTCGATCAACTTTCGACAAAAAAGAAGATCCAGTGACCCCTGAAAGGGAATGGTACCATCTACCTTCACCCAACTGTACATCCTGAAGCACATACAGTGGATGGACGAAATCCATTTCGCGCAACCCAAGAATCCCTGGAATGAGATTCCACTACGTAAATTCTATCCAACGTTATGGTTTGAACCATGGTTTCCTTCCGTGGTGCAAAGATATTTCGATTTCAACCAGCCGCTTTCTCTACAGTATCGCCCCCACCTTGAGGCTAGGCCGCAAGCCGAAGCAGGCGGGGCTGGGCGCCTTTGTGCGGTACCCCCGCCAGTACGTGGCCAGGCGCGGGGCTTTTTCCGGGGAAATGGGCGGGGGGAGAACACGGTAGCCAGGTGAAGGATACTGTGGATGGGCGAGATCCCCTCGCGTCACGAAATTTGAGAACCCATGGTTGAAACCATAGGTTTGTTGGTCTTCATAGGGAAATCGTCAAATTCCAGGGTTTCTTAGGGTGGTCCAGGATTTCGTTCATGCACAGTATGGTTGACAACAGAGTGGGATGTATCCTTCCGCCAACTGCTAGACTATGGGCATGTTGGTCTATGTTGACAAGAAGATGGGTTGTTTATAGGCTGCTGGTTCCGACTAGAGTATTTTTCTGGACGGTTTGTAGACCAGCAATCCCAATCTAATCCTAGCAGGAAGTCATGTTACATTTTACAACCAAATCGTGCCATGAGGGGTGGTCTCATGATGTTTGACGGTTGCTCAGTCTGCACCACTGTCCGTGGCGTTGGTGGTGGAAAGAGCAATGTCAACAAGCTCGACATGAACAAGAAGTGCGTGACCGCCGTGAACGACGCGGACATGACGCGGACCTTGAGACTTTCAAGAAGATATCTGACTGATGGAACTTGAAGAGAAGGTTTGGCGTGGGCTTCGCCAGGGGTGGCCTTTGCAGGGGTGTTTGTTTATGTCGAAATTATAGGCTCCTTGCGAGAGCTTGCAAAAAATACACACCATGAAGGTTCCTTCTCAACATATTCCTTATTTTATGTCACAGTTTACTCAGATTGCCAAGCTGCTGTTAGAGGATTCCCGTTTTAAGCACTCAGCCCCGAGAGGAAGTGTGATTCTTTTCCCCGTTGCTTTTGCAGAAATTCATTGCAGTTCAACTTCTTAATAATTTGCTTCCCCTGCTTGTAGTGACGACCATAGGCTCCATTCCCATGCAATGTCCTTCCAGGCAGCTACAGCAAGATGAGAGATAGCGCATTTTTGCCAGCCCCCCTCCCCCCTCACCACCACGCCACTTTTTTTGTGGCAATCAAGCCCCCACTGTCCCAAAAGCATCACTTACCCGGATGAATGTCGAAGCTCAAAGTGCTTAAGATTCCTAGAGCAACCTTCGGGGGGGTCTTTAAAACTATTTTATAATTGGTAGACTGAATCTGGGGTCAGTATTTCGACTGTTGGGGGCTTTCAAAGTCAGCTGGGTTGTTTGCAAGAAAACTTCCTGCTCAACGGGGGGTGATTTTGCTGGTACCATCTTGGGACCAGTGGTTCTGAAATGTTTGTTTGCAGGGTTCCATGTTAATTTGCAGGGGCATGAGGGGTACCCTCCCTCCAAGCATAGGACTCTGCACAGGGGTCCCCTTAAAAGAAAGTTGTCTTCCAGCAACCCCTGAGGTTCCATAGAGGGCTGTCGAAGCTGTCGAAGTCTTCCCCACGCGCTCAGGAAGGCGACCGTGGAGAAGATCGATGGCGACTTGGAGAAGGAGCCGATCGATGGCCATGTGGCTGTGAGTCGAAAATAGGTACCCAAAATGGAACCGGCACCCTGGCAAATGGAAACATGACTAAAACCTGCGGTCCCCTGGTGGATGAATTTTGCCCCATACTCATGTCACGATTGGAAATCGCTCGCATTTGGGGGGCTCGTCCCGCTCTCTCTCTCTTTCTCTCTCTCTTTTTTTGTGGATACTTCCTTTAGGTTGAGGGAAGGCGACAGGAAAACCAAGGCCAATTTGTGGGTCTAGAGGAAGACACCTTGTTGGTGAACCACCCACAGGGTTCTAAACCTTCCCACTGACAGGCTGTGGACAGAGTCTACGTCACACCTAGGGATGACGTCCAATTGCTGGAACAAGCCGCCTACCAACTAGTGCAGGACTTTGTACATCCACAGTGACACCTGGCAGAGGATCGCTCCCGTTGAGAGGAAATTTCTGGTTGAGGCACCCTTCAGCTATGTTAGTGGCAGGAAGGGTAACATGATTCTTGCTTTCCTGTTGATGATTGTTGATTCTTCTTGTTGTTGGCTAGCTTAAGGTCCCGCGCTCTTTGCTTTGGCCCAAAAAAAAAAAAGTGTCCTTGTGGCTTCCCGTAGGTTTCCCTTTGGACACTCTCCAAGTTGAGGTGTTTTTTTTGTTGGGCGGCAAAATGATGCCTTCAACAAACGGATAAATCGGTAAATGTTTGTTCCACAACTCAGTGGGAGTATCGAGCGAGCATTTCCATGAGGCGGGGGAGCGTTTGCGAATTGTCTTTGTCTGCGATTCCTTTTTTGGAACCGCTCAAGTAGGTATGTGTACCCCTTATTCCCCCCCAAACAAAACATCTATGCTCAACTTGCATTTTGCCCCCACACGTTTTTTGTTCCGTGAATCTTCCGAGGGTTTCCCTGTTCTGATTTCCAGCACTACCCAATGTTAGATATGCAGCCTCCCAATTTCTCTATCCAAGCATCCGTTTCGGGTGGAAACCGGCTTCCCTTCAGCCCCCCACATAATCTGCCCCAAGAAAGAAAAAACGACGGATGGGCAGTTCTGGTAGGACTGTCCCTCGTTCCTCAAGCGTCAACAAGTGGTTTCCTTTTGCTTTTTTCAAATGGTTACTGGTTGGTGTCCGGGTTTTTCTCTAGGTTCCTGTAGCACTCGCAGCCGCCATTGCCCATGTTCACCGGACGTAAAGCCAGGGCTTCAAATCCCCAAAATCCATCCAAGTTACCGACTGAGATTTTGTTCTGAATGGCAGCAACTTACTCGTGGTTGTTGTTGGGAAGCATTTTACTTTTTTGCTTATTGTGGTTGAGTGGTTGACATCCCCAATTCATTGCTAAAATTTGAGAATTTGTGCTCCCCTAACCCAACGTCAACGTCAAGTACTTAGGTCTTAGTCTTCGTTGCCAAGTTGGTGACCGTTTGGTTCCAAGCCATGGGCCCCATGTGGACAAATTTCTGGCTATCAGGGTGAGAAACGCCAAGTGTCTAGGGCCGAACATCCAAGATGGTCTGGGACGAATCGACCCCCGGACAAGGTTAACCCCAGTGACCGGGGGACTTAGAAGTGGCTTTTGACCTAGGTTACCGACAAACATGTGCCATTAAAATGTCATCTTGATAAATATCTTTCTTATTACACATGCACGATTATCCATTGGACTGGCATCGAAGACCCAAGCAAGCACCACATGATGTTTCTAAACCTTCCCACTGACAGGCTGTGGATGGACAAAGTCTACTTCGCACCTGGGATGGATGAAGCCCAATTGCTGGAACCCACCTGAAACTCACCTGAAACCCACCTAAAACCCACTCACCTGAAACCCACCTAACACCCACCCTTTAAATAAACATCCTTAAGGGTTGACCATATCTCCGCCCTGGCATCATCCCCCGAGTTCGGCCATCGGCCGCCGGGCATCGCCCAGCGTATTGCCCAGCGTATCGCCCGTATGGCCAGGCGGTGTGGCAAGAGGCGGAGTGGAGCTGCGCCTTCGTGGAGATCCGGGGCTCGGATGCGCCCCCGGGCACGGAGCCGTCGCCCTGGCAGGAGACGGCGGGGTGGGCGTGGGGTGGGGGAGAGGCTGGGGCTGGGGGATGGTGGGGGGGTGGGGCAGAGGGGTTTGGTTGGGATGTTGGGCGGTTGGAGGTTTATGGGCCGTGGGTGTCTTAATGAAGCTGGGATCTGCAGTGAAACTGGGTGAGGGGGGGGGGGACTGTTGCAAAAAGCAAGAGGAACAGTGTTGCTGACCTATAGTGGAAAATGGGATCTTGCATTTGGGTTGGGCTCAATGGATTCCACTTGGGGGCATTGATCATGCTTTTGCGAGGGCATCATGTCGACCCTTTACTAAGCAAAAGAGGTGTTTACCCTGGAACACTCGGTTTTCCCAAAATTACCCAAACAAAAGAGGGTATTCGGAGAAGGCAAGCTATGTCTTTTCGTCTAACGGCATGCGCTTCCAACGATCCGGGGGTGCGGGCGAATACCTATGATGTCCTCTACTTGAGGATCCTCATTGCTGGGGTAGACTTAGGATACACTTTACATTGACTCAAAGGGAAGCAAACAATAGAATATACATTCCATAACTTGGCCTATGTCTAATCATGCTTGCAGGTTTTGGATTGCAACGCTGGTCTTTTCCGGCCCTCGACCTTGAAGCACGTCGCAAGTGTTCTCCAGCTCCTCTGTGTTGTGCCCGGAGTTGGCGTCTCCTTTCTCACATGCCCGGTTTTCGGTTCCCCCCCTTTTATTTCGGGGGGGGGGTTTTAAGGGAAACCCACAGGATCTCCGAAGCCGTTCTTGGGGTCCCCTCAAAACCCCCCCTCCCCTCACGGATCCCTTCCCGGTTCCCCCAGTAGCTCGTGGTTCAGTTGCCTCTAGCACAAGCAACCAACCGGCGTGGAATGCGCTGGAAGGTGTTGAACAAGACCACGCGGCTCGAAGGTTGAATCACAGCCTCCATTTGCAGCCACCTCGGCTCGAAGTTCAAGCCAACACGTGGATGTTTAAATTCCGTCGAGAAGGAAGAGGCTCTAAAGGGCTGGGTCCCCCAGCAATTGGTGCCCTTGCTTACCTTTCTTTTGGGGGAGGGTTAAATAGACTACAGAAAAAGTTGGTACCCTTATTCTGAGCTCTCCACTGGAGGATTTAGAGGGTAGCTTCCATTCGAATCGTGCATTTTCCGTGTTGACCAAGTTTCAGGACGGGCCATAAAGATGTGGAGTGGGAAGTGACGGAGTGCTTGGGCCCCCAGTGGATGGTCACACAATCCACGCCAGGCACAGATGGACGAATCCACGGGATAAACCAGTGAGAAGGGGAGTTCGTTGCGCACTAGCTTCTGTCTCATTCTGTCCATTTGTGTTTGTGGAATATGTAATGACCGCGGGGTCCACGTCTGTTTGTTCGGGAGCCGTGGCGCATTTGCTTTCGCCACCTCCGAAGAAAGGCCGCGGAGTATGGGGTTTGCTTCCGCATGATTTGCCAGTGAAGTTTGTTTTTGCCCAAAAGGGCAACAAACCACAAACACGTACAATCTTAGCAAGGTTGCTTCAAGGAGAGCAAACCTTGCGCATCCGTCATCCATTTACTTCCAATTACTTCATAGAAGGTCTTGATTTTCCCCTTCTTGGTTTTAGACCCTGAAACCCCGAAGCCCTTAAACCCTGAAACCCTTCAACCCGACATATGTCTACCTTTCCACGGGACCAAAATGCCCATGGTGGAGTCGTGTTCTACAAATCACCTGCCCCGCGCCTCAGCTCGCATGGCGATTCTTCGGAGGCCGGCAAGCCACTGGGGATTGAAACGGGTGTGGCATTCTTGGGGGTACCCTTTTCGGGGTTTGACCCTGGTTCAAGGGATACCTCATTAGTGAGCAAGGGATATTTTCAGGACTTTATTATTAGCATGGTAATTGTGTTTTGTAAGTCTCCGAAACTTGGTGGCTGCCAGCCATCCGGTTCCTTAGCCTTTTAGCTTTCTAGTGTTTAGTGTTGTAGTTTCCATTTAACCCACTAAAAGTGAGTCACTTTTAGCGGGGGATCTGAGGGCAGCCCAGTTGAGGCTACCCTTTTCGGGGTGGTGTTGAAGGGAAATGAAAAGCAAGCCACCTTTTTTTTTGGGGGGGGGATCCCGTAAAAGGAGACACCCAAATAGAAAATCCCGGCAAGAAACCCGCACACGTGTGGTGGAAGCGAGGAAGGTTCCACCTGGTTTGCCTTTGTTTTAGGCCACCCTCCTTACCATTTGCTTAAAGGCTGGGAGGCTGGGAGCGTGGAACACCAACCAGAGAGATATTTTTGGTTTCTGCCCAACATTGACCTCTTCACCAATATAGGACCAAATCCACACGGATGGATCGGCACCAGTGTTAGACTTGCCAGTTTTCTGGCGAGCTCACATGGTAAACACGCTCTCACCACGATGAAGTTTCTTTACTTGGGGATCCTTTATTTGTGGAATTATATTGTGGATTTGGAATTATTATGAATCCTTTATTTCAGATTTTGAAATGCATTGTGGAATCTGCAAATGGATTCGATGAAACCCTATACTTGGACAAACCACCAACTGGTGCGGAGGATATTTGGTCCATCGGTATGAGGTTCGGAATATACTTTGCCCAGGATATGGTTGGACTGCTTTCAAGCCGGACAGGTCGCCTGCATTTGACAGGCCTTTCCCCGTCAAAAAAACAACGATTCGAATTGGGTGACTCACCAGTCTATCCCAAGAAACTTCTCCAAACCGGAAGCCCAACACTTCGGAAGCGGCTGGTTCAGAACTGGCTTGCCCGATGGCTCAAGATGTCAGTTTACATGTCTTTGCCGCCGAGGGTGTGAGAATGGGCGGCTTCATGCAGTTTCTTTGGTCTTTCTTGGCCTACGCTGCTGCATCGGAAGACTGCGAGGATTGCTCAGATGCGCATTTGTCTTTTCTGCAGCACAAGAGCATCCGCCAAAGTACATCTCAGCCGTGCGGCAAGCCATATCCCTTCATCTGGGACAACGATGCGAACTACGACGACACCTTGGCCTTGCTGTATTTGGCGCAGAGCCAGAACTTGGATTGGAAGGCCATCACTGTGGAGTCAGATGGCATGGGGACCCCGCATGGCGGACCTACCAACATGGCTGCTGTCGCCCAACTGGTGGGCCTGGGGCATGTCCCCATTGCGATGGGGGGGAGCTCCAGCCTGAGTCCAATTTCAACCATGCCTCTTGACTGCTATTGGGTTGGATCTTGAGACTTCACCTTTTTTGGGAATTAAAGGTGTTTTCCACTAAACCCTCAAAAAGTTGTCCACTTTTTGCAAGGGGTCGTTGCAGCAACCAAGGCCTTTGCAGTGGCGCATTGAGACGGATGAGTTCTTCGAACGGCAATACGAGTCCAAGGTCTTGAACATGACCGACAAGGCAATCGTGGACGTGTCCGCACCACATCTGAGTCTTGGCTGCTGTTTGGTTGGATCTTTTGCCTTTTCATGGAAGCAGAAGGTGTGTTTTTGTTCTCACACCAACCATCAAAGTAAACTTTTGCCCAACAGACAGTCAAGCTGAGAAACAGAAACCTTGAAACCATCACCCCCCCGACCGCCACCCCCCCCCCCGCCCAACTACCACCCCAGCCCCCACCCCACCCCACCCCCACCCCCCCCCAATTTGAAGACCAAACAAGCCCCAGGATAGTGCAGATCTTGAAAACCTCAGAGTGCCCGGTGGTCATTCTGACCACAGGGCCAGCCACCAACGTGGCGGAAGCGCTGGACATGGATCCCTCGCTGGTGCAGAACATCCGCGGGGTCTATATGATGGGCTCTGCCTACGGGGTGCCAGGCGGCAGGGTGCGGGGTGTGTCCTCTTCCTTTTTTTAGGGGGGGAATTCCATCCAACATGGCGCGGTGTTCCTTTTGGATTCTGTTAAGCCCCAAACCAAAAAGGGGCCCTCGAAAAAAGACGGACCCGGGTCTGTCTCAAAATGAGCCATCAAAACTGAGTCGGGCAGATGAAGGTTAGTGCACAATCCCAGCCATAGATAGGTGCGACGGCCTTTTGATTTGTTTTTTTCCGCTGGTTTGGGTTCACCATGTTAATACCAGGTCTTTTATTATGACTCAAAATGCGGGGAAGCCCCTTTTGGATGGTTCTAAAGGGAAACCAAAAGGACACCAACCACTCTGGGGCCGGGGGGGGGTTCTAAGTCTGATTGAAACACCCAGGCACCAACAACGTCTACGATTGGCAGATGACGTACAACGGTGTGAAGGGCTCCTGTACGGAAGATGCGGGCCAAACCTACACCGGGCTTTCGCCGCCACTGGAGAAGGATGGTTCGAAGGAACTGATTCGTCCAGAATGCCGAGGAGTGAACATGTCCAAGCACGGCGACACGGAGTGGAACGTCTTCATGGATGTGCGCGCCTGGCGTATGGTCTACGGCTTTCTGGCATCTTCTTCTGCAGATGTCCGTGTCCTGGCCGCAAATGCCACACTCAACATGCCGGTGACGTTGGAGCAGATGGAGAAATATGCAGCAGAGCTGGCGGGTGATGGGCTTCGTACCTTCGTCACGGAGCTTGCCAAGGCCTTTCTGGCGGCTGGAGAGGCCAAGTGGTGGGATGCTCAGTGTGCGGTGGTGATGGACCAAGTCTTGTCTGGGCAGAGCGTTGGAGTGTGCTCCAACTGGGCCGAGAAAAGGAAGACCAGCGTATCCCTAATCTGGAGATCCAATCTGGCGGAGGGCGAGATGAACCCTTATGGCAGTATCCACGATGATGCCGATGCTCACGCTCCCCCCATCGACTACTGCTTGAATGGCAACGTCACACAAATGTGGGAGGTTTACTGGCCCATGGTGAACAAGAACGGCTAGCGGCCTAGCGGCCTACCGGCCCAGCGTCCTAGCTCGGCCGCCCCAAAGCATGGCCTATGCCCAGACTAGGCATCTGGGCGGTCGCGCAGCAGAGAGAAATGGGTGGCTTGTATTTGTTTGGTACGCCTCGTTTGGCGGTGCTGGGACACCTAAAGGAAGGTCCCCCACAAATTTACACACCCAAATGTTCTTGTCAAACATGAGGGCCCCCTTTTGTGTGGCTTCGTATATCCTTGGCGGTTCCCAGCCGTCCGGTTCCTTAGATTCTAGTTGTTTTTAGATGGTTTTGAGGGGGTTACCATTTAACCCACTACTCTTTGTATCAACTGATAGTTTTATAACAGTTTGGATCCCGATCTGTACCGGAGCGGCCAAGAGGTTGGGGATCATGAAACCGCGTGTAGCATAGGGGTCTACAGAACTGCGTACTGGTTTACTCCTACGAACTTGTCATGACTCGGTATTTGTTCTGAAGCACCCCACCCACGAGCCTAGTCGAACTTCATCTTATAGATCCGCAAAGCCTCATATGTGGCCTTTGTTGGCGGAGGGGGGTTGTAAAACCCCTGAATGGAGATGGTAGAGAACTCAGGGCGACCAAGGGGAAGGCCATGATTCTGACTGGTCTGCTCTATGCTTGGACGTGTAGCTTCAGTATTTTCAGCAAGCGCTATATAGATACCAAAGATGGGTGCGTCTTTTCTTTGCGTTCAATACTTCCGGTAGGGACGGGCGGGATGTCTAGCCCTTTTTGGGACATGTAATACTGGCCTCAGGTTTTTTTTTCGCCAGTCCAGGCATGCGAGCATGTCCACTCAACCTTCTCACAATTCTTAAAACTTGGCGGTTCCCAGCCGTCCAAATCCGGTGTTTAGTTGTCCTTGGGTGTTTCGTTTTTTTTTTACTTGGTTTCTTGTGATTGGGTTTCTCTTTGACCCACAAGTTATTAACTTTTGACAGCGGAGTTTGAACAGCCCGGACAACAGTTGGCAGATTTTGAACTGGGAACCTGGCCCCCCACCCATAGAAGGGCGTCTACTCTTTTTGGCCTTTGAGCCGGCCTTGAACAGTATCTAGGGCTCCCTTAATTTCCGGGTTTGGGACCTCTTTTTGGGTAGACAAGAAGTACCAATGGTCGTTTGCCCTGTGGCACCATTTTCCAGCCCTTCTCCTTTGGTTTCACTTTCCACACACCTTTGTACACTGCAAGCCGGCTCCGTATCAAGTCCTCCTCTAAAATAGATTCTAAGCTGTGTGGTGCACCAAAAAGCCCCCAAAATGGTACCACTGGCCGAAGCACGAGGACTTCGGAAGCAATTCAAATCCGCGGCTCACCTCGTGGGTTGGATAGTGCAACCAGCTGAGTGCTTAGCGTACTTAGATAGTTTGAGAGGCATCGCTGGTCAGCAATCATGATTGCAAGGCTTTAAAAGTGGTTTTAGAAGGGGGTTGTTTTCAAGGCCAAGGGTTTGCACGGGGTTTACTAGGGGTTCGCAATAGGGTTTACAAGGGGGGTACAATGAATATACAAATAGAATACACAGGGTGTACAGATACAAGGGGTAGAATGGAGGTTGACCATGAGCAAGAGGGAAAGGATGATCATATTTCCTGCGTCCTCATCTTAAAGAATCTCGCTTAGATGGTCTGGGAAATAGCCAAATGGTTCGCATCCGTGAACTGATCCGCGCCAAAGCATCAGCTGACCCCCCGTAGAACTCCTGGCAAATCGTTGCAACCATGTTGCCAACCACTTGTCCAAGCAGCATGATACTCAAGTACAGCAATATAGACCATGTTTTGTTTCTGGTCTACCTGCATTTATTGGTGGGCATTAAGCGTAGCTTTCCTTGTTTTGGTAGCCGATCCTTTTCTCAACCGTCCCAAAAGCGACCATCAAAGACTCTCCCCTAGTGACCCCTAGTGACTAGTGGTAGAGGGCTTATTTAATTTGGCCGTTTTCCCCTTATTTGGGTGTGGCTCAACACCAAAGAGCTGGGGTTACGCAGGTTTTGGCTTTAGTTTCCATTTGCCGGCTTCCATTTTGGGTACCCTCCCTCCTAACATGGCAACTGACAGGGGCTCCCTTCAGGAAATGAATCTTCCAGGTACCTTTTTCTACAGGTGCCATGTTGGTTGGAGGAAGGGTACCCATTTTTGACCCGCCAAAGGGCCAGAAGCTTTCGCCCGATGTCAGACGCCCAGCCCAGCCCAGACGTGTCTCCGATGCGTCGACAGGGGAGCCGCCGGCCGGGCCGAAAGCTCCGCGAGAGCTGTGCGAGAGATCTGTGGAGAAAAGAAGTTGATCCGAACATGAGGCAGGCAGAGACAAGCATGCACAATATCTATATATATCAAAATATCAATACATACAGACAGACAGACAGACAGACAGACAGACAGACATACATACATACAGACATATATATATATATATATATATGGGTACCGTATATGTATATACGTATATGTAAGTTTGGACAAATTGGTGAAGGGTCATGTGTTGTCTAAGTTGTTGAGGTTTCGCTGAAGAGCAGCGCGACTGACATGCGTTTCCTTCAGCGACCTGCGAAACGGATCCATCTTCCCCAATTCCGGTGATTGTCAGAATCCCCAATCGATCTTTCGATCTTGATGGGAACTGGGTGTGCAACAAGAACATGCTGAAATTTTCTGCTGGTTGGTCCTTCTTGTTTGTTCTTTATATTACCATGGTCGCCTCTAAAGTTTAGATCCGCTCCAGCTCGAGGCACCCCTTTTTGGTGCAGCCTCTAATGGCTTTGCTCTTCAGGAGACCAAGGTCAAGATGCTCTGGGACGACGAGCATCTGGGCCCGATTTCATTCATTACTGCGTCGATAGCGCGAGAGATTTGTAACCACTTTGGGAGCCGATGAAGAACGGTTTGGCTTCATAGGATTGGTGTCCCAGCCAGAGACTTGTTTCACTTTGGGAAGCGTCCCTTATTTTTATGGCCATTTGGTTGGATCTGCTGACTTTTGCTTGTTTAGAATCAGGTCGGATTTTCCATGGGACCCACAAACAGATATTCACTTTTGCAGAGGGTCATTACAGTAACCAAGTGATTCCTTCGACACTAGCCCCCTCCTTTTTGGCAACCAGTTTGGGGTTCCACAGGACTCCCGCTCTAGTAGTTCCAGAATTGCCTCGAGGCAGGATGCATTTCAATGGGGAACAGGGTTCCGTCACCCTTACGAGATTGTGATGGGCTCTATATATAGCGCGATTAGGCCATGGATGTTCATTGCTACACCCTCAAACATGCTTGACGTAAACTTCGATGTAAATCATGTCCAAAGGGTCCCCAATTCAAATTCATTCCCAACAGTTGCAACTCTTGCACCCCTGAAACAGAACGCTGCAGCCCTGCAAACGATTGGTTTCCTGGTGGATTCCACGTAAAGCCGGTGAAATCGGCGGACCTTTGAAAGGCGGCTGTGAACGTCACCAGCCCATGGGTTCGATCCCCTGGGAGATGTCTCATGCGTTTTGTTTGTCTCATATCGGCTTCGTGTGGTTTTGGGGAGCGGCTTGATGTTTGGTTGTCTCGCCTTGACAAGCTATCGGCATCTGGTTTGTAAGGCAAGCTGCTGATGTTTGATCCCTGCTAGACAGCTGGCTCGGCCTCACTTCGAATGAGTTCAGGAGGTGCCGGTTGGACAGCTCGACCGCTGTCGTTGGATTCGCGGAAGTGCTCCATGTCTTTGGCGCCCTTGGGTCCAACCGAGCAGCATGTCCCCACGGGCTTTGTGGAAAAAGGGGCTCAAGTTAGATCAAGCGAGCAGGTTCTTTCGACTCGGCAGAAAAACTGCAAGTGGCTTGTAAACCCAAGGGAATGTTTCGATTCCCTTGTAAATACCAAACAATGGTTTCAACCATGGCTTGAAGTGCTGCATCTGTGTTGGCTGATTAGCTGGTCGAGCTGCCAGGTATCTCTACATTGCCGCCAAGATGGAGGTTGACGCAGGCAACGAGCTGGTTGCAAAGTTCAAGGACGGGAGATACGGTTTGCGGGTCCCAACTGGTTTTGTTTGCAAACTCCGACACGGCACCATCGACTTGAAACGTAAGGGACCCCGCTGTGCCACAGGCTTGGCAACTCACTTGGCAACTCATTCTTCCAGTGAACTCGCATTGGTGCACCGTTTTCAAGATTACTTGTTGGCTGCCCTCTCGTTGAGTCTCAGTTTCCTCGTAATGCTTCAATGATGTTTGGAACCGAGCCCGTGCAGTTTCCAGGGCGGTAGGGGCTGTGTATTTGTTTAGCTCTCAGGAGCTCGCAGGGTCGCTACAGTCGCACTGCTTGCACGTCAGTGAGTTCGCGTTTACTGCCATGAGGAACCCCGACCCGCTTCTTGGAATACGGGACTTTGGATCTTCCTGAGCCTACAAACAGGCTTCAGACATACTTTCGGGTCTGTCTTTTTTTGGGGGTACCCGTTTTGGGACGGTTTTGAAGGGCAACCAACAAGCAAACCACCATCTTGAAGGTCCGAATTCCAATTTGGGCACAGGGCCATAGAAAAGCAACCCACCCTTGGTTGGTGTCCTCGGGTTTGAGAACATCGAGCGATAGGAGCGGAACTCGCCGATCTTCCACACAGACTCGGACTTCGAGGTCTTCGTAGATCCGGCCGGGTGCTGTCACGGCTACAAGGACCCTCCGCTTCGCCGCGTCCATCGGGCACTCGTTGGGAGAGGACAGCCATACGTGAACATTGCGGTTGTGCAGTTGCGCGCAAATCCAGAAAAATGGATCGAAGTCTTCGCAGCACTTTGAGGACAACTGACCCTGACAAAGGCCAAACTGGACTGCAAGATAAGTCGGCGAATCACGAAGCAGTGCTTCTTTTGTGTTCTAATCTTGAAGCTAGAGAGTACATGTGATCGGGTCAGCGTCCAAGCGTTGACATGGGGTTACCTGAGGATCGCCACTGAGCCAGCTCCCAGACGCAACTCGGAGGTTCCTCTTCTTTTGTTTGGTTGCGGTTGTCAATATGGCTTTGCCCTTGGCTGACATGGGCCCCTGGTCGGCACCCGAAAAATGTCTCCAGGGACTGAGTTTGACCGCCCAAGGCAGGAGATGCCCGTGCCACTTCGGGCCGTGTATCAAGCTGCAGCTGTTGAAAGCGAGCGGCTTAGGTTTTGCGCAGGAATGAGGTCGGTCCATCCGTGTTCGACCTCTCAAAAGTTGGGTTTCTAAAGGACAGAAATGCCAGCCACATTGTTAAATGATTGGTGGGTTGATGCCTCAGGGTCTGGTAAGCTGTTGATTGCCTGGTGTCACATGGGGTATAGCCCTTGCGACCAGGGTTATCACCTGTCCGATTCCGATTGATCAGAGCATGCGGATTCGTCCAAACGAGCGATTCTGTACTTTTTGGAAAAGGACAGGTTCCCAACTAAGATAGCGTTTCGCGTATGTTGCTCCAAGCCTCTAACAGGTAACTGTGGGTCATTGGTTCAATCCCTGCCGCCAAGTTGGGTCGTGACCGCTGATAGGAGCTGGAGATGAACGCGCTGAACACGGCCCGGGCCTCTGCGTCAAGGTCTTGCACGGACTGTATGGGCCCTATGCGATTGTGGACCTTATGTCGTAGCAGGTTGTCCAGGGTTAGAGTTTCAATGACTTCGTACGTTCGGCCTTTGGCCAAGTTTCGCGAGAAAAAGCAGGCGAGATTCACTATGGTTTGCAACTGCTCCTTTTGGACCCATTTCGGTTTGATTTCAGCCTCTACAAAGAGGGTCCCTATTCCATTGCTTGTGGCACCAGTGCCAAAGGTTTGATTTCTGGGCGTTGGTCCACCCGTCCGGCTCCAGGCAAACAATGGCCAACGCCCGGTTGGTCATTAGCACTTAGACCTGCTGAGCAACGAGCTTCCTAAGATGCCGGCCACACCAAAAGAATGTGAAACCCCCGCCATGCTCGGCTTTACTTCGGATTCCCTCGTTCATTTCTGTGCCCAACAGCCCAGGATCGTTGTCCAACTCTCAAAGGTGCCAGTGCATTGATTCGCAATCCACCGCTTGGCGTGGCCTTACGTAGGAGCTTGGGCTACACTTCTCGGTTGTCACACCAAGAAATCTGACGTAGCACAAACCAAACCGGGCTGAGCTTCCATGAGGACCGCTTCTTTGGGCTTCTCTGTTTCGGGATGTTTCGGGGGTTCGAATTTAACGAGGGAGTTGTTTTTTTATCCACTTGACTCTTATCCAATTTCAACGGGATCCCCATCTTTGAAGGGCAGAATGTTGAGTGATGCTAGCTGGAACCATTTTTCAGGCACATGTGTTCTTTCCGTTTTGGAGCTGAAAGGGGATGTTGTTCGAGTAGTTGGAGAAAAGGAAAAATCGCCAATGGTCAAACACCTTGTTTACTTCAAGGGTAGTCATCCATTAGAAAAGTTCAAACCAAGGCCGCCTAAGAATTGGGAATTGGGGACGCCTCCCGTCCTCCAGGGGTTCTTTTTGGGTTCCTTGTAAAACTATCCTTTTAAAGGGGTCAGGCACCCATTGGCTGGGAAGTAAAAAGATATAAAGAAAAACTAAAGAAATAAACAACACCCATTGGAAGGAATTTTGACCGTGGCAATGGCTGCAGGGAGCAGTGGGCTGGTGTAGGTCTGGAACCTCATGCTGGATCGGCCCTACATGGACGGCGGCTCCGAGTACAGCGGCCGCGTGGCCAAAGAAGGCGACGGAAAAAGCCCGGGGAAAGCTTCCAAGTCTTCCCCATAACTTTGCTTGTTTGGGGTTCCCTTCTTGCTTTGTTAATTTCATTTCTTGTTGGGATGGGGGGGTTCCTTTTTTTGTTTTTTTTTTTTGTTTTTTTGTTTTTTTTTGGGGGGGTTTTGGGGGTTCCCTTTGTTTTCCACAGGCCAAACAAAATGCTGGGGTCCTATTTCCAGCGCTCCTTAAAGGATACATTTTGCCCATTTGAGACATGTTGTTTCCACCAAAATACAGGGAAACCACCATTTACAAGGCAATGTTCAGGTGTATAATGTAAGGATCCCTGCTGATTTTCTCGGGTGTGTCTTTTTTTGGAGTTGGGACCTGTTGTTGAGGTTTCGAAGCGAAACGAAAAGGACAGCCGCCATTATTAAATTTGTTTGCGAGGGGATGCCCTACAAAAAAGGCACATCCGAATCAATGATATTATGCCATGTGTTGGAATGAGACCGCAGTTTTGTGGAAACACCAGCATAGGTAATCATGATGGTTGCCCTATGTTTTCGTTTTGAGGGTACCTCTTTTTCGAGGTTTGAAAGAAAGGAAACACACATTTTTTGGGAGGGAAAGGGTCTGATACAAAAGAGCACACCCAACTTCGTTAGATTCCCTTGTTTTGGAATGAGATGGTAGTTTCCTAGGAATACCAGCATATAGGTATTCCCGATGTTTACCTCGGTTTTACATGGTGTTAGTTGGCTACTGACCTTGAACCATATGTTTGTGTTGGACCGGAACGTTTGGTTTTCGACAAGCCGGAAGGCCAGCGTGGTCATACTGTGGATGGACGAATTCCATTTCGCACCACCTAAGAAACCATGAAAAGCCATTGTTGGTATCTACAAGGGAATCATCACTCCAGGATTTCTTAGGCGGTGCGTTTTATGGATTTCGTCCATCCACATGGCCAATCCACTCGCCCGGTTTGGCTACGTCTTGCGGGTTTTTCGGCCAGGTGAGCCGAAGCACTGGGAGGTGTTGCGGCAGAAGACCGCGGTAAAGGTCACCAAAGGCCGGAACGCCGCTGGGGGGGGAGGGGATGACCTGGGCTTGGCGCTTTTGCACCGGGTCCCATTTTCTTGGGGGCTCCCGGCCATCCGCTTAGCTTTTTTACGGTGACCGTAGCTTTTTAGTGTTTAGTCGGGTTTTCCATCTCGCCCACTAAAAGTTAAATTTCCTCCGGGGGATCTGAGGACAGCCCAGTTTTGTGCTTTGTGTTTTTTTAGGGAAACCAAAGGAAGCCGCGTCTTGTTGAAGGTTCAAAACACGTCGGCAGAAAGGGGACAGATTCCTATTTTGAGAAACCCCAATATGGAGTTTGAAGGTTTCGCACTTGAGCGGTGTATCCTGGGTTCCCATAGAGTCACTCAGAAACGCGCGAGGTGTTTGCTTCTGTTGAACACTTGTTCACGAGACATCCACCATGCCCGTGTGTCTTGAAATGGGAGACCCCTCATGAGCCTCATGGTATGTCTGCTTTTGGTTGTCTTGTAAAGGAACCACAGTTGCCCAGAGCCGCGCCCTTTTCTCCTGTTTTTGGCAAGGGTCCCCTTCAAACTCAACCAGCCAAAAGAACGATGCCCCTTTTTTATCCCACGCCCACTGGGCATCTGAGGCGCCTCAAAAACTTGGTGGCTCCCAGCCACTTTTAGTGTTTGGGGTTTCCGAATTTCAGCCAAAAGCGAGTCACTTTTAGGGGATCTGATCTGAGGGCTGCCCAGAGTATAACAAAAAAAGACGAGCCCGGGAAATTCTGATGAGATGACGCAGGCCAGATCGGGAACCCCACGCGCCCGGCGCAGTGGTGCTGTGAGGTGGCACTGGCGCGCCTAGGCGGAGAAAAGACGAGGGCTCGTTTTCAACTGGGCGTGTGTCTGTGTCTTTTTGGAGAAGACCTGGTTTTGGGTTGGTTTGGATTTGGTTGGCTTGGGGGTGTAGGGTTGAAAAGCACACCCACAGCAAAACCACAATGTGGGAGGGGAACTTTGACCTGATGAAAAACCCCCCAGTTGAGAAATGTGTAAGTACTGGCATAAAGTGTTCCCCACTAAGACGGGACCCCCCGAAGAATAAGTCGGGGGTGGATTAATAAGGGGTCGCATTGGTTACCTGTTGTGTGTTTTGTTAGAAGGGAAACCAACAGGAACTTTTGAGAAGTCGCAGCTGGGTGACCCTCAAAAAGGCAGAATTGGGGGTCCAATAAAGGACCCAGAGTCTTGACACGAAAAAGCAACAGGGTTTGCAGTGCTTTAGGATTGTTTTCCGGTTGCGGATGATCAGCGGGGTTTCAGAATGCTCTCAAGGCGAGAGCCTCTGCACGTGTCAAAAACTAGGGACGCTCCAACTGCTTGCTGTCATATATTATAAGGCCAAGGATGGCCTTATTTCAATGCCAGTCATGTCTTCATTGAGGATTGCTTGTGCGGCCCCTAAACATCTGCAATCTGACACCCTCCCGACCCCTTCCTCGCCCCAGCCCTGATATATAACTTTCGGTATGCAACCATCCGGGCTCCATGTTTTTGGCACGAGCCAAACATATGGACTCTGGACACCCAATCCAACTTGACTTTGGCTGAACCGGGTTTGTCACCAAACTTAGGGGAGCCCTAGTCAAAACAGTTGGGTTTGTCTTGATCGATTCAAAAGTTGCTCCTAGTGATCCCCTAGACTGCGGTAGATGTCACGTATTGTGCGTTGCTCATCATCCTTCGCCCATAATCTAGAAAAATCATGACCAAACCTCTTGTGGGCATGTGTCAAAATATGGCCCACAAAATGTGTGAGACCCCTTGTTTTGGACAGCCCCCTTTTCACTAGGGTCAATAATTATTCTGACTGTTTGCAAACTGCTAACCTACCACTTGGGTAGTGAGACAAATCACGGGGCCAGCTTCTTCGACCTTTTTTGGGCCCAGCCGTCCGGGGTCCTTAGGTTTTTATATTTTTTTGGTTGGTTTAGTGGTTGGTTCCGAAGTTAACCCACAACTTGGTCACTTTTAGCGGGACCAGAAAATGGTCCGGTTTGTGCACCCTCTTGGGTCCCCTTGTTTTGGAACCTCCGTTTTCTGGCCCCGGTTTTTGGGGCAACCGCTTCGAAGCCGACCCCCTTCCGTCCGCTTCCGTCCGCTTCCTTAGGTAGCAGGGGATCTGAGCCCAGGCGATTTAGGAGTCCCCTGAGGCGCTTCCGCTCTGACTCCGACAGACTCTCGCAGTCATAGGGGTTGATTCCTTCTCCATTCTTTTCAACCATCGCTCTTTTCAAGAACCGTTTTTCTTCTTTTCTTTTTTGTTTTTGTTTTTCCCCCCTTTTTTATTTTTATTTTTTTCCGGGAGTTTTGATGGTTTCCTGAAAAGATTCGGATCCCTGGAAAGAATGGAAGTAGGTACCCCTAGAACTGTGGATAGACGAAATCCTGCACCACTTGGAAACCATGCTTGAAAACAAGGTGAGTTGGTATTCACGCTGAGGAATCGCATCAGAAGCCAGAAATTCTGGACGCTGCGGCTTTTGAAATGGATTTTGCAACCATCCACTTGGTACCGCTTTGGGTCAGATCACCGAGACATCGTCCCAGGCACGCGGACACGCTGGGCCACGCCCCCCGCTCCACGCAGCCCTTCGCCGGGAGCTGCTGGCGCATCAACTTCAGCCGCGTGGAGCGGCGCTCGGAGTTCTCCAGACGGGGGCTTCGTTTAGGGGACCCCCCCTTTCCCCACAACAAAAACAACGATGTGTTGTGCGTGTTTTTGTTTCTTCCTTCCTTTTTCCCCAGATAGCTGAAAGCTATAGGGGTTCTAACTTCTAATGAAGAAGGGAAAGTGATTTGCGAGATTGAGGGCCGGGTGCTGGGGGGCATGCAGTTTGGGGTGCTGGTGCAGGTGCTGTTTTGCGAGCTTGACGGCCGGGTGTTAGGGGGCATGCAGTTTGCAGTGCTGGTGGAGGTGCCGCTTTGCGAGATTGACAGCCAGGTGCTAGGGGGCATGCAGTTTGGGGTGTTGGTGGAGGTGCTGTTTTGCGAGATTGATGGCCAAGTGCTAGGGGTCATGTAGTTTGGGGTGCTGGTGGAGGTGCTCTTGCGAGATTGACGGCCGGGTGCTAGAGGGCATGCAGTTTCGGGTGCTGGTGGAGGTGCCGCTTTGCGAGATTGACGGCCGGGTGCTAGGGGGCATGTAGTTTGGAGTGCTGGTGGAGGTGCTGTTTTGCGAGATTGACGGCCGGGCGCTAGGGGTCATGCAGTTCGGGTGCTGGTGGAGGTGCCGCTTTGCGAGATAGGAAGCATGTAGTTTGGAGTGCTGGTGGTGGTGCTGTTTTGCGAAATTGACGGCCGGGCGCGAGGGGGCGTGCAGTTTGGGGTGGCGGTGCAGGTGCTGTTTTCTGTTGCTGTTGGAGGTGCTGCTGACCGTGTGGGCTTATTTCCCGGATAACTGGAAACCATAGACTTCTAATGAGTGCTGTTCAGTTCAGGCGCTACCACCCCAACGCAGCACCCGCGCCAGCACCGGACATGTCCCCGAGCACCCTGCCGTCACGTACTATGTGGATGGCAGGGTGCTAGGGCGAGTGCTGTTTGAGGTATCGTGGTTGTCGCATCATCCTGATGCTGGCCGCAGCATCATGATGCTGTCAGCAGCACCATGATGCTGTTGAACTGATTCGGACGTTGTTGCTGCTCTAACTGTCGCGCGTAATGGTCGTAATGGTTCGTGGCTTGTGTATCATCATGATGTTGGCAACCACGTTATGATGCTGCTGCAATCGCTGCGGTGCCGTGTTATGGTTTGCGGGTGTGGTGGCGGGCACAATGCTGTCAACATCAGGGTGATGCTGAATTTCATTTCACTGTCGCAAGATGATTTGTGGCTGTGGTATCATCAGGATGCTGCCGTTGCCATCACCATGATGCTGTGAACATCATCATGATGCTGTCCGCATCATCATGATGCTGTCGAACTCAGCAGGACGTCGTGTCTGCCTTTTTTTCTGCTGGATATGTAGCGCGGAATCGTTTGTGGCTGGTGTGTCAGCATCACCCTGTCAACAGCATTGTTTTGCAGATGGACTCACTAGGACGTTGTCTGCGCGTCTATGTAGCGCACTATGCTGAGTAGCTGTTGTATTTTCATGATGCTGTCAACATCATCAAGATGCTGTCAACATCATCATCATGCCGCCGTGGTGTGCTATCTGGGGTCTATGCTGGTAATTGTTTTGGTGTGTGTGTGTGTCCTTTTTCTTGGTGGTGTTTGCTTCTTAGTTTCCCTTTTTAAGCCACGCCCCTCCCCCCAACCCCCAAAAACAAAGTGGTGTCCTTTGGTTCTCCAAAAAAAAACTTCCATTTGGAGTCAGTTTTCAGGTGGAGCCCCTCAAAAAGTGGAATGGTTGGTGGACAACAATTCACCCAAATGACGTCCACTGAAGGGTCACCAATGAACATTCATACCTTAAATGGGCGTCCCTCTTTGAGGGTGCCTATCTTTGGGGAAGCCAAAGGGAAACAGCCCATTTTGGGAGAATTCTTATGTAGAGAAACACCCACCTGCGGAGATTCCGCACTGAAAGAGTAGTAAAAAAGGACCAACAGGGTCACCAGGTGGAATCCGCAAAAGTCCAAAACATCCCCCCAACTATGTTTCTTCAAATAGGTCAGCCCAAAACTGAGAGAAGGATGTGTGAAAGACAAGGTGGGGCGAAGGAGCCCGAAGGCCACGCTACCGGTAGTTGGGGTGTGTCAAAAGGGATTCTTGATGTACACCTGTGGCAAGTAGGACCGACCAGAGCACTGTTTTTACTTAGCTTTAAGAGACCCATAGATGTCTCTCCTCCCCCCTTTGCCTGTTTGCAAACAGGGTGTTTCGTGTTGATGGAGTTGTGATTTCACTGAGAGAGAAGGCATTGATCTTGCTGCGTGGCACGCAGGTTGTAAACTATTCATGACATGCGCTTATGTGCAAGTGACACGTTGTCCCTGAATATATATATATATATATATATGTTCCAGGCCGTGGGACCCCCCCTCCCCCTCAGCCCCCCCCCCCTTTGTGCGGGTGGGGTGGGGTTGGGTGGTGGATGGGTGGTGGGGTGTGGTTCAGGTTGATTAGGGTTGGTTTAGGGTGGGTATAGGGTTGGTTTAGGGTTGGCTTGGGGTTGGTTTCGGGTTGGTTTAGGTGGGTTTAGGGTTGGCTTAGGGTTGGTTCAGGGTTGGTTTACCGTGGGTTTAGGTCGGTGTTGTTGGCTTAGGGTTGGGTTCAGGTTGATTTAGGGTTGGCTTAAGGTTGATTTCGGGTTGGTTTAGGGTTGGTTTAGGGTTTGGGTTAAGGGTTTGGGGCGTAGGATTGGTTTAAGGTTGTGGGTTGAGTTGTCCTACGTGTCGGGATGCAAGGGTGCGAGTTCAGGGGCTCGAGGGGGTCTGGGGACCGTAGCAGCAGGGTGTGGGGATCGGGGGTTGGTGGCATGGGGATTGGAACATATACATATATATTATATACATATAAAAATATATATATATATACACACATGTAGATAAGATACACGCAGATGTTATGCACATGTTGCTTCAGAGGTTCTCAAAGGACGACCCGGGAAGCCAGCTGCTCGCAACAGCTTAGCCCCGAGACAATGAAATGCATGCTTTCTTTTGTCAGGTTTGGAAAGCGTTTGTTGTACTGGAGCTTTTTTTCTGTCCGGGATTGCTTGTGTAGAAACTTGATCTCCTAGGTTGAACACATGGGCAAACACCCACACAGCCGTGAACTTGAGCTACCTGTTGGTATGAAGCTGATCGACCATGAACTGGGACATTGCCTTTGCCGCAATGAGACTCGTCGCCATCTTACTGGCAGACTTCCTGTCATACTTGCTTGTCTTTCACCAAATTGAACCTGACGGAACGGGCAACTTGCGTGAATTGTGACGTGATTTGGCGTCTGACGACTCTTGCCCAGAGCCGGCGGTGCCTGTGTGTCTTTTTTGAGGGTGGGGGTTTAAGAGGGAATCCCAAAGGAAGCCAGCTATTTTGCGGGGAGGGGCCCTATTTTGAGCCACATTCAGGTGGCCCTTTTCTCCAGTCGCTTGCAGGAGAAGAAGGGCAAGGTCAACTGGGTCTGGGCCCCGCAAGTGGTGTGGTCGCCCACGGATCATCGATACGCCCGGGGCCCCAGAAGCTCAGCTCGAAAGCTATAAACGGCCCTGGTGGACGGAGGCGCATTCTGCGAGGCGAGCGTCACGGGCGCTTCGTGTTGAGCAAAGTGAAGCTGTTCTTTGCCAAATTCCTTGGAGTCGCCGGTTTTTCCCTGTGATTCACTTGCAAAGGTGTTGGCTCTTTGACTCTTTGCATGATGAACGTTTGCCAACAAGGTACCACCGAGTTTCCTCCAAACAGCGTGCTGGGGGGGGGGGGAAGCACAAAAAACATCCAATTGTTGCCTCTTCCCTTCCGAAGAATCCAGAAAGAACAAAGCGTCAAGCCAGATTTTTTTACCCACGCTCTCCGCCCCAAAAAGAACACCCCTACGAACCAACCGAGGCTTGGCCCTCCAACATGCGTCGCCTTCATCCCGCGGCCAAACTTGTTTCGTCAGGAAATGTTCAGCACCTTTTCCCACACTCTGGGTGCGTGTTGTTGTGAGGCTGCCCTTTTTTAGAGTGGCTTACAAAAGAAGAAGCCAAAGCGGAACAGCAATCACTGTGGGGGTCCACACCCCATGGAGTTCTCTTTTTGGGGAGTTGGTACCCCCTTGTTTCGGTGTTTTTTTTTTAAGAAACCCAACAGGAACACCACACAACCAGGTGAGGGACGCAAAAAAAAAGACACCCTAACTTCCCCAGAATTAGCTCCCCTTTTTGTTTGTTATTTGCTTTTTTGGGTCCCTTTGTTTTCCACTCACCAGGCAAAAAGACAGTCTTTCGCTGGGGTGCTAATTGAGCCTAGAATTGTTGTTTTTTTCATTTGCCTTGCTGGTTTTAGAGGGAACAGATTTCACCACTGGAAATATGTTCTGATTTTTCCAGGGTGCTTAAGCAAATGGAAGGAGGGTGCCTAGCTAAGGGCTGCCTCAGGTGGGCCAAGAGAACATGCACCTCCCGGACGCCTGGGGCTATGTGGTCTTTGCAGCCCGGGGACCCCGGAACCGACCGGAACCGACAGGCCCAGGTGGCTGTGGGTCAAACATAGGGTAAGCCCAAAATGGAACCAGCACTGGCAAATGGAACCCTGGGGACTAAAACCTGCGGTCCCCATGGTGATTTAATTTTCACCCATACCCATGTGTTGTGAACCCAAGAGAAAACCAAAGGGACGGCAACCATTTTGGTGGACACATTTATCCTAGGTAGTGCCCTTTCACCCTTTTTTGGGGGAGGGCTCCCCTACTAAAATAGACTACAGAAAAAAGTTGGTACGCTTATTCTAACCTCTCTACTGGAGGACCTAGTATCGGAGAAACCAGCCAAAGGGGACATTCTACAGGACATCAGCTTGCTTTTGCTGGTTGGCCAAAGTTCCTGATTGTCGCAAATCAAAAGTTGATCATTTTACTGGTGGTTTGTACTGAAACCATCGCCACTTTTGAAGCTTCCAAAAGGGAGATGGAAGACACCCTGTTGTAGTGGACACTTATTTTGAGAAACCGCACGGGGCTGTAAATTGTCCAAGGGTGACACTTGTTCTTCACGAATGGGTGCCACAACCCCCTGTTTTGAAACCAGCATGGTTTGAATGGGTTGCTTTGTTTGCCACAGCCCATCCTAACTTTTGGAAGGTTGTTTGCCAAAAATGGAAAGCTGCTCACTGTCCAAATGCCAAGAGAGAGACACAAGATCTGTGCCCTCCCTGCTGCAGGCATAACGCTGAATGGCATTTGAAGTGGCGCGGGTGCCGTCTCATGCGGGTGCTCGGGAGCAGAAAATGCCTATAATTTTGCTCTCAGAAAAACCGGTGTTTCCGGCGAGGCCTCCAAACCGTCAGGGAAAAGAGGAGTTTTTCCGCAGCGAGCTCACCTGGGGTTTTTATTTATAGAGTTGCCGGTATGCAATTGGTTTCACGGTGATTTTCAGAACGTTCCAGGCTTCAGTTCAAACGGGTGTACCGGGGCCTATCAAGGGAATGCTCGGACAGCTCACAGGTGTCCTTGTTGGTTGTTTTGCTAGAGAACAGATGGCCTTCGTTCATCCAGTTTTCCATATTGGGCCACTTACTGTGGATGGGCAACATCCCTTCGTGCTACTTTGAAACAATGGTTTGTCAGCCATTGTTTGTTATTTACAAAACATCCTCACGTTGGTAAGGGACATCATCAGAACCCAGGGTTTCTTTTGTGGCATGGATTTCGTCCATGCACAGCACGGGCACAGCTTCTTGCCAGCCCTGGTTGCTTTCCGAATTTCCGACCTCGGTTCCGAGGACAAGCCGCAGGATACCAAGGAGCGCGATCCAAACTGCTCTTGGCTCGTGAAAATTTGTATTTTTCGAACCATTTAAGCTTACGAATGTGGTTGTTTTCCTGCTAGTTTCGAAGGGAATTCATCACTACTGGATATTTTTAGTTTTTGTGCTTTTCTCCCATCGTCGTTGATTTCCTGTTGGTTTTAACGGGAATTCAACACTACTGATCTTTTTCCAGACTTGTTTTGGCGGTCTCTCATGTTTTTTTCGAGCATCCATTCGGAGAACCAGCGTTTTTTGGCTGTCCCAGGCCGGGGCTGAAATTGACTCCGTTCAGGTGGATGGTTGGTTGGTTGGTTGGTTGGTTGGTTGGTTGGTTGGTTGGTTGGTTGGTTGGTTGGTTGGTTGGTTGGTTGGTTGGTTCGTTGGTTCGTTGGTTCGTTGGTTCGTTGGTTCGTTGGTTCGTTGGTTGGTTGGTTGGTTGGTTTGGTTTGGTTTGGTTTGGTTTGGTTTGGTTTGTTTTTTTGTTTGTTTGTTTGTTTGGTTGGTTGGTTGGTTTGGTTTGGTTTGGTTTGGTTTGTTTGTTTGTTTGTTTGTTTGTTTGTTTGTTTGTTTGTTTGTTTGTTTGGTTGGTTGGTTGGTTGGTTGGTTGGTTGGTTGGTTGGTTGGGGGGCCGCATTTTCAGCATCATTGGCCTCGCTCGCAACGAGGACTGCCTCTTGTCTGATTTGGTGAAATGGTTTATTCTCTTTTGGTGTCCCTTTGAACGCCAACCAAAGCGTGGTCCATGTTGAGAACCTACCATGTTCAGATCAATGATATGGCTATTTTGTTTATCGAAGAATAAGACCCAAGCGGCTAGTGGATATAGAAATCTTCAAGCGATGTCAGAAGGTCCCACATCAAAAAAGTATGGGGCTCCTGGAGCCCTTTTGGGACTTTGGACCAAAACAAGAAGGGGACATGCTTTAATCCACCACCAATCTATTTTCCAGCAATGGGATCAAAGCCCCTCTTTTGGGCTTTGGGTTTGCAGGGGCTCCCTCCATTTCCCTTTCCTGTCACCAAAAGTGGCAATCCGTTCACAGGAACCCAGCAGTTGCTTGCAGCCCGCGTCACCGGGGACGTCCCACGTCCATCCCATGGGACGCCGGAGGAGTTCCAAGACCCCGCGTGGCCGGCCAGACACGCGGCCGCCTGCCGGGGGCCCCCGGGCGAACCGGACGCAGAGGAGAGCCGAGTGATGACCCAGCATGGCGTAAAAACCTTCGGCTTCTTTTAGATATATTAGCAACCCATTTATAAGCCACAAACCATGAATGGAACCCCAATAACCCATTTTTCATTTTTTGTGGCTTAAACCGTATATATATATATACAAATATACCGGGGTGTTTTCCTGGTTTAGTGGGGACTCAGACCACTTTTGGAGGTGAAGGCATCAATCAAACCCGGCGGATGAATCCGGGGTCATGGCCTGGTTTGGGCGGCTCCCCTCGCTCCCTGAGTTGCTTCAAACGTTTGGGCCACTTCGTGGGGCTCGGTTTTAGTGGTATACCAAAAGTTTGGTTGCTTCTTTTGGCCCATCCACAGAGGTGGAGTAATTTGAAACAGAAACAGATATGCGCCAGAATCAAAACCCGGGTAAGTACAGGTTAGGGCCAGTCCCAAGCGGAATTGGGTGCGGCCGCCCTTTGTAGTTCTTTGCGTTGGTCTGGGTAGACCAGTTTGATACCAGGCGTTGATTGTGACTATAGTCATAATTTGCCTCATAGTCAATACCTGGCAATACTGTGGATGGACGAAATTCATTTCTTTTTCACCACCTCAGAAACCCTGGAATCATCCACATGATCTTTTGTGTATTCCACATGTGGGCTGTAGGTTTGGTCAATATCTCCAGATAACCCCTCCAAATGGCACGGGTACCCAGTCAACGCGCGCTTTTGGTTTGGTCTGGGGGAAACCAGCAATTTGGACTTCGGCGATTCCGTGCCTTTTTTGGTTGGCCTGGGTGGGTTGAGAACGGTCAGGGGATATGTAAAATATATGTGTGTATATATACATATATGCACAGACGTACACATACTAACGACCCACTCGTGCTGCGGGTGTATATATATACATACATATTGACATGTATATGAGCATCCCCGAGACACTGAGCGTATGCACAGTGATTGTATGTATTGAACGGACATGAATGAACATGGGGTGGCCAAAGCGGTTCTTTACCGATATGGGATCACCCTCCTCCGAGGGCTATGTGGGGCATGTCAGTCCCATGGCTCCCCTTCTGAAAAGTGCTTAGGTGGCCTGGGAGTGGTTGGCTTTGCCGTGGTCTTAACCCGAATGGTTGTAAGTCCCCGAGAAAACTAGGGTTACGGACCAATTAGCAAAGTCTCAGACCATCTAATTGCGGGGTGTTCTTTTTCCTCATTCAATCTGACTCCGCCAGCGTATGCGGGAGCAGTGAGTCGTGGAGCGCATGGAATCCCACGGGATGAGAGCCGGGCCACAAAAAAGCCGTGCCTGCATTTGCGCTCGAAGCTTTATTCAAGAAGCCCCCAACGGGGGATCCACAAAGTTCCAGTTTTGGGCTATGTTTGGGTGGCAAAAAGACCTGGGGGAACCCCCACCTGAGTGAGTCCCCCGTGAAAGACAGCCCCTGCGTGCCATTGGGACCTGTGAGGTGTCTACTATGCCTGCCGAGCCTTCAAGGAGGCGTGACACCGAGGGGGGCTTTTGAGCTTCGGTTCTCGTGGGATTCGCTAGAACTCGCGAGCCATGGATGGCTTGGGTGAAAGTAGATGGCACTCCCAAATGGCGTAGTCATCCCCCTTACATCACAGGGATTGTGCCATCCACTTTCCTGGCTGGTCCGATAGGCGGGGAATGAGAAATGGAATGACCCCGAATTCACCCAACGCTTGTGGCTTCCCTTAAGGGAGTCCTCAAAACCGGTTCATTCCCAAAACCCTGATTCGGTCATGCCCTAGCTACTGCACTAAGCAAGTTTCACTGGATGGGATGTTCCCCTTGCGAGCGCAAGCTGGGCCTGGATGGTCGGAATCGGGAGAGTGCGGTCAATTGTCAAGCTGAATTTTGGGGTTTAGCCTGTTGCTTTAGGGCTTAGGGTTTGGGGCTCGGTTTCGTGCAGCGGCTGTTTGCATTTTTAAGAAAGCAGGTTGCAAAGAACCGTCTGCAGAGTGGCTGGGGGGGGGGGGGGGGCGGCTTTTTTGCAAGCTTCTTGCAAAAGGGGAAGTGAACTGGCTAACTCCGGCTAAAGACATTCAGGGTACACCCTCAGAAATACGCGACATCACCTGAAGGCAGGTTCTTCGTAAATTGATCTCAGAGCCTTCCCGGAGGCACGGCACCCGGTTGCGCAAGTTGCCCTAAGAGTCATGTTCGCCAGAGAAAGTATCACTGGCCCCCCAAAGCCCCCCAAAGCCCATCCCTCGTTCTTGATTCAGTCTTGAGTCAACACGGAGCTTTAGGCCAAGTCCACCTGCAACAAGGAGGGCTTGGAGCTTTGGGGTAACATGTGCTTCAGGCTGACCGAGGCCCCCCTTTCAAATGAAGCCAGAGTAATCTGGGGTCTCCAAAACAATGATTTTTTAGGTGGACTGTATATGAAACGGAATCCGAACATATATTAAATATTTTTTGTGTACCCCAGTTGTTTAGGTATCCCTTAGGTGGTTTGGGGATTTGAGCCTCTGGTTTTTGAAACCACTCCCCCTCCAAACCACCAATCCATACCACCCTTTTCGAGCGAAGCTGAAAAGTGGTTTAAGCAGTGGCCGAATCTTTCGGCCAGTGGTTTGCCCTGCTCAACCCCGAGACAAGCAAACACTTCAGCTGCAGAGTCTATGCCTGAATTCCCAGGAAGATGTCAAATGGTCTCAAGAGGATGGAATTCCCATTTCTTTGTGGTCCCCTCAAAGGGGAGGCTCTTTGCTGATTGTAGTTGGAAGGGAGTCCAGAAAGGCACCCACATCTTAAAGGTGTTTTTTTTCCTCTTCCGGAAATGCATCCCGAAGGGTCCCCTTTTGAAACTTCTTGCTGGTCAGTAGGGAATGCCCCAAGGTTTGGAAATGAACCGGTTCTAAGGGGATTCCCTTAAAGTGAAGCCACCAGGGTTTGGGAATGTTTCCCCCCCCCCCCTCGTTTTTTGTTCTTCTCTTTTGTTTCCCCGTTTTTGTTTCTTTTTTTTTTTTCCGGAGTTCCCTTAAAGGAAGAATCCCACAGATGCTGAATTCCCTTTAAACAATCCATCGGCGTTGTCTCCCCCTCGGGGCTCCACGTCTTCCCATCGCGGCGAGGCCAACGGCCAGTTCCCCGAGGCCTGGGCCGAGCTCGTCGCCTCGAGCCTTTTGCCCGGGCGCCCGGACGCGCCCCATGGCCATCGCGCGCCCGAAGGCCCGAAGGCCCGAAAAGGCCGCGGGGAAGATCTTTGGTCTCTGGTCTGCTTTTTTTTGTTTTTGCTTTTTTTGGAGGGGGGGGGGGGTTGCAGTTAGGTTTTGGGAATCGGTTTCTGGCTGTTTTTGCAGTTGCAAGTTTTTTTTTGGGGGTCTGGGGTGTGAAAGGATGGCAGTTTCACGTTGCAAGTTGGCGAATGTCTCCCAAGACTCACTTCCTGAGATCCTGGACTTCAGACACTTGGGGCTGGACCACTTTGGTGATAAACGAGCAGTTTGGACCTTTCTCTGGAAGTGACCCATACCCACTTTGGCTTTGCGTCGCATTCTTTTATCAAGCGGGAATTCCTCACTGCTACGAGCTGACTGGTGGTGCCCCGTCCAAAATGATACAGTGATGAGCTGCGAAGTCAGTTCAAGAGTTTTTTGAGCTCAAAAGAGGCGGGGAGAAGTCTTGTTGCCCTGTGAAGATGCGGGCTGTGTGCTTTACGGTTTCGGCACTCCAGGTGGATTTCCTGAGATGTTGACCCAGGGCTCATACAACCTCTGGGTGATTACGAGGTCGTTCTGTATGTAAGAAAGGATCCTTCACTGGGAAGCAGCCCCATTAATCTGCCAGGTCGGGCGGTCCTTTGAGCAGTCCATACTAACCAGCGTTTGCTTGTATGAGCTCCCCATGAAGTTTACATCCACACGTGGGAATACCCCAGCAAGCATGGAGTCGTGGGTTGTTGTCCAATCTGGATGACTGCTTCAGCCCGTGTATGGAAAAAGGAAGGGGGAGAGCTTAATTCGGGTTTCCTTGTTGGCTTCATTATTCCTAGGGTTGATCATAATCCTGGATCCTTCTGCCCGGATCGAGTTTCATGTGTGGCCAGGGATGCAAAGAATGAGGATCGGCCAGCCCACTTTCAGTTTCCAGCCAGACCCTTGAGACTTTTCTCGACTTCAGCGGGATGGCCTAAATCCCGCTAAAGGCTCACCTTGAGACCAAAGAGACACGAAGCTCTCCACAAGGCCACCATCCAGACATAGATGGCCTTTTGGAAAAATAGATGGGTTTCACCGGTAAATGGAACAAAACCCATCTAAACCAGTGGAACCCATCTATTTTTAGCCAGGCTCACCTAAAAAGGACACCTTTGCATCGAGAGCTCCCTCTACACCCAGATCCCAGCCCATTTCTTAGGAAAGGAGCGGAGCTCTTTGCCGCAGAGGTGGTCTACAGAAGGAGCGATCGAATCTGTTGCCTCGATTCGATTTTCCGACTTGGCCGCTTTTTTGGTTGGTTTAATACTCATGACTCCCGGTGGCATGGAGTTTTGCCGTAATTTGCTAGACAGTTGATCTATTCAGCTGGGTGAATTATAACGACCTCACACGACCTCACCCCAAATGGTGGTTTATGTGGAGAACATCCCTCCAACCATCTTATTTTAGGCTGGTGAAATATTATAATTCACCCAGATTCAGGGTTCCACTTTTTCGACATTTCAGGGTAGACTGAAACCCAGGGGTGGAACACTACCCCCAAAAGGAGAACCCCTGGGTCTAAGTCTATCTTGGGCTAGTCAACAAGTGAAACCCTGGATCTATGGTGTGACTGATCTTTACTCTCAGTGTTGGGCCACTTTCCCTTGTTCCTTAGTTTTTGTCTGCCCTTCGGTGGGGCTGTTCCGTTGGTGGCCAATAGCAAGAACTTCCAACAAAGATACGGCTTAAGGTAGGTGTTTGGCGCGCAACACTTTCATACTCAACCGGTTTCACATGTGAGTTACGAATCCCGGTTTTGGACCCAAGTGTTTGGCACAATTCACCCACGCACAAGGTGTTCTACTCACTTTCGCCAATGTTCCGCGCTTGCCGCTTTCCCAGTTTTTGGGTCAAGTCATGGCCAAGGTTCTGACGTCTTCAGGATTTGTGTTGCTTGGGCTTGCCCCAAGACTCGGAAAGCTTGAAAGTCTCTGTGCTTCTTAGGTAGCTTGGCACTGGGGTGGCCAAAGGGGAAACCTGCAGGGAAATGTGAGCAACACCAAAACCCTTGGCTGGGCCAAATCAAGCTCGACAGCTGAGAGCCATGGATTTGGTCTCTCAGATCGATCGTTCGGGGTTTTGTTTGGGGCAGCTTTCAGGGAGGGTTCAAAAGGAAAGTTTGAGAAAACTCCGGCGGCTGATGGAGATACACCTGGGCTTTCTCCCGTTTCGTTGAGTGGAAAAGGTCAGGTAAATGATGCGCATGGCTCCAGATCGAGCCTGAGTTGCCACCAGGTTGACGAAACCCCACGTCCGAGCTTGGATACTGGGTCAGTGTTGGCACATTTGGGGATACTTGCTGCTTCCTCCCTGGGAACACCGGGGGTCCATAGGAAAATGCTAGCACCGGATAAGAATTGAGTCCCAACATCCAAAGCAATGTGAGCAACTGACAAAACGGCTGCTATAGTGTATTGTTAGTTTCGGTAGGGGGACCCCTCCAAATTTGTCCGTCCCTTTCGGCAAATAGGGACATGTGTGAAGAAGGGAATCTAGAAGCAGTGCCGTTTTGGCCGGAGAATGGCAGGGCCAGTTGAGGTTCGGTCAAGGATTGTAGTCGGACCTTTGGTTTTAAAGGGGAAACCAAAAGGACACCAACCATTTTGGGGCCGGTCCCCCAAAAAAAGGACACACCCAAACGAAGGACTCTCTAAATTTCCCAGAACAGCCACTGTTCACCCATTTTGGCCGCTCAGCCCCCGCTTGGGCGATGTCCTCTTGCTTCTGGGCGGGGTCTCCCAAGTTCCGACAGGACGGAGGGCTACGTAGCACAGGTGACTGCCATGGGCCGGGGTGCCCAATCCTCCGAAAGATGTTCCCTCGAAACACGGGGGTCTTGCGGTTGCATGAACCCTTGCCTGTGAGTATGTAAGATATCTACGGACCAGTGCCTGCGTATCTGAATCAAATAACATGTACAGAGAATTTGAGGTGTTTTTTCCTGGGTGTGCGTATCACTTCGGTTGATTATTCTGATTATTCCGCGACGAACTTGAGGGGTTTTGGAGCTCAACTGGACACCCACGAATATTCAACCAGCGGAAAGAAACCTGGTTCAAAATTCGGGAACCGTTACCCTCTCTTCAAAGTGAAACCCGTCAGTCGGCCTTGGGAAGGAGTGGTTGCAATGTCTACGACGTGGCGAGACTTTCAGTTGGCAGAGTTTACCAAAAAGAAGGCCGACGAGAGTTCAGCCACACACACACACACATTGGGGGGGGGGAGGGTGACTTTTTGCGATGCCTTTGTGTTGGGTGTTTTAATCGAAAAAGGCCGCCTTGCGCCGCCTTGGAATGTGGCTCCAGTGGTCTTAGCGCGTGCAGCGCTCACAATCAACAGCAGCAGCTCCACTTGTGGGTGGTCAGCAACTGTTGTTGCGCGTTCGCGTGTTTTTATATATTGCAGGTCAAATCAAAAGCTCAAATCAAGCCAGCAGTGTGACCACTCCAGTGCGGACGAGGGGCGGGAGAGCAGGAACATGTTTTTCTCGAGCAAATCTGCCTGTCAATGGCTGGAAACAAGGCCAATGGCTCCCTTTGAGGTGATGGTGGTCACACGGAGTGTCAATTGCGCATAGATATCCAATGCAAAAGCATGAGAAATCTTGAGCTGAAGGGTTTGCAGGAGTTTCCAAGCCGTTCGACTGCTCGTTGCGGTTTTAGGATCCGCTGTCACCTGAAGCAAAGTGACGCGTTTTGCAAGCGCTGGACTCCCCGCGAGCGGAGCTGGCTATGGCGCCCAGGTGCGGGGCGCGATTGGGGCTTCGGGTCGGAGAATCTGCACGCTGCCATGGGACGTAACGTACGTAACGTTCCCCGAACTTGGGCTCCACTTTTGGGCTGCCGTTCCAGAAGACCCGAAGAGAGGCACAGTGTGGTTTCAGAGACAAACCTGTGGCATTTAGAGATCTCAAATTCTGACATGGCCACCTCGCTATCTCACTCACCATGAAGGTTCATCGGGAATTGCTCTTACTTCATGTCGGTAAATGGTACTAATTTGCCCGACAGATCATCAGCACAGAGATCCGACCTACGTATCCCTTGGCATTGACCACTGGCCTCGCACTGTGCCCAAAGGACGCGGATATCCACAGAAAATCCACAAAAATGGCCCGTGTCGCAGCCACCTTTATCGCCTTTCGGGCCGGAAATTGCGTATCTCACCTTTTCTCGACCCCCTAAATTTTCGCAAGGGGGTTCCTCTTGGTTTCCCTGTAAAACCAGAAAGTTCAAAGAACCCTCAACCAAAAGAGGAGCCACCCCCTAAGGTTTTGTACGGGGCTTCTTGGTAGGTACCTTGTGGTCTACTTTGACCCATTGGCCCGTGAGGTCCACCCAAGCAGTACTGAGCCAACAATCACACAGACCAGCTGCCCATCTTTTTGGAGGATACCAACAACCAACATCACTCCAACAACCAACAGCAACCCCAACCGACAACCACAACAAACAGCAACCACAACCAACAACCAAACCAACCACCATTCACGCGGCTCGCCGCCCATCTTTCAAGCCAAGCGAGGCGCGGAGCGTGGCTCCTGGCGCTGGGCCTTGCCGCCTACCAAGGACCAAACGGCCGCCTTTGGGGCGGTGAGTCTCGTGTGTTTGGTGCGGTTTTACCAGGAAAGCCGCGGTTATTTGCTGGTTTTGCCAGGAGAAAAGCAGTTTTTGTCGATTTGTTTTCGTGCGTTTTTTGTTTCTTTGTGCAGTTGTTTGGTGGTTTTTGCCAGGAAAACCGCAGTTTGTTTAGTGGTTTCAGCAGGAAACCCACAGTTTTTTGTGCGGTCTTACTTGGCTTTCGACTGAGGGAATGACGAACTGAAGCATTGTTTTGGGTGTCCTAGGGATGAACCTTTTGGTTCATCAGCAAAACTCTCCTTTGAAACCCATGTTCATTCCCTACTTGGAATGTCCGGCGAATTTAGTAAGTGGTTAGACTGAGTACTTACTAGCTTGGCAGAACACCCAAGCACTGAGAACCAGCAAGTTGCTGTGATTAGCCGCGTCAGTTTGGATGGCGCACATGCTGACTAAGCTTCATCACAGCTATCCTGCTTGTTCATCCTTCGTGCTGTGGCTTTTATGCGTTGTATGTCATTTGGCCAACAGCCCTGCGTTGTCCAAAGTTGCTCATGCCCAACATCCCCGGTCAAAACTGATGGATTGATTCTTCTGGCTAAGGCGGACCAAGGGGAACACCGCCAGTTTTTGGCCTCGCCCACACACCCATCTTGGGAGCGTTGCCCCGTGTTCTGGACCACTTAGGCCAGGGTTGTTTGCAGAGTAGTGAGCCCCACGGTGTTACCATTTGGTAAGTAGGAGTTATCAGCGGTTGATGGCAGTTGTTGCTTTCCCAACTAACATCAGAGTCATAGCGTGGGTTGCGCACTTCAAGGGCTGAATGCATACATCCATATGAACCTGCTTTTATGTCCCTCTAGTTAATCATCAATTCTGGCCTCATTTTGGGACACCAGCCCAAGGGGTCCCACATGGCCATGGGTTCATCAAACATCAATCAGCCCAAACGAACGCCGCTGCCGCAGGTTTTGCCTTCCTCGCGCCCACGGTTCCCAGCCGCGCCCCGACCGGCCTCGCCCGTGGTTTCGGCCGATGCCCTCAGCAAAGAGCCGCCTCTGCGACGCAGAGGCGGCGTGGGTCGGCCAAGTCTGCGTTTCGATTTGGGAGCGTCAATTTTGAGGGAGCTACCAGTACGGTCGGTTAAGGAGAACGAAAAGGAAACCAACCGTTTAGGAGGTCCCATGGAGGTCCCAAAATTTTGGAGAAGTGCGAGATGGCCAGGGCGGCTGGGTATAAGTTGACAGCGGGACCGCTTGACTTGCAGTCCGAACAAGCCGACGCCTTTTGGGAGATCTGCCATGGCCACAACTAGGTCCCCCAGTAGTGCCCTTCTACCGGAGGAGGGTCCCCTACTAAAATAGACTACAGAAAAAAAGGGGTACCCTAATTCTAACCTCTCTACTGGAGGACCTAGGCAATATTGCGCTATCGGTAAAGCGATCTATAATTGAACTCAACAAACCTGTTTGCCACGGACTAAGTCCAATCATGATTCCACTTACACCGTGATTCTCAGGCCCTGTCGTGCTTCCTTTCTCTTTGGCTCTGCTGGTATAGTGAACCTCCGGCGGGTGTTTTCTGAGCGCATCTATCAAATTGTGTGTCGCTGTTTGTGTGGTTACCCAAAACGAGGTCGCTTTTTTTTCACTTTCAGAGCGGAAATTCGAAAAGCGGCTTCGAGCTTCTCCGAGACCAAGCTAGGGATGTCTCAGTTGTTCAGCGGCACCCTTTTTACCCTTTTTTTGGTGGCTGCCCCGCTAAAAATGGTCTTCCCCAAAAAGGGTTCCCTTTTTTCCAGCTCAGAATTGGCAAGAAGCGGTTTGGACTTTCGAGGCTGACTCAGGAAGTGAGCGTTCCAGGGAGCAGCGCAAGCAACAGAAACATCGATGCCAACATGTTGCGACTCTGATCATGAAAGGTGTTAAGTGCCCTACAGTCCCATGCCGATAGTTTGGGCCCTTATATCCTATGCTCACTATGGTTGTCAGTCCAAAGAGGAACCCTATGACCCCCCATTTTCTCCCCAGGAACAGCCCCCCCCTTTTTGCTTTGGCTCTTTTGGGGTCCCCTTTTCCTTTTCCACTACCCAGGCAAGAAACAGGTTTTTTGGGCCCAACGTCCTACTTCCCGGCGTTTGTTTTGAGACACACCCCACGTTTGAACCTTCCATGGGGCCCTTGACCAACATAGGCGCGTCGTTGGAACACTTGGCGCAGGCAGCTGGTGCCAGGCGCCGGCGAGGCCCGAGAATTCGCCAAGATCAGCCGGCCAGCTGTGTTTTTTTTTTTTTGTGCGCGCTGTGGCATTGGCAACAAAGTACATCACCCAAAAACGAAAAAATCGCCTGTGGGTTTTGTTGCGACCAGCTGAGGCAGCGGGTTGCCCGAAAATGGGCGAAAGATCCGCCGGGATGTGGGTTTGTGCGACCGGTAACCACAAAATGAAGCCTCGGCCTGCCTTCTCGTTTCTGGTCGACAGATGTCGACGGGCTTAAACCACCTCATCTACTCACGAGTCTGAGTGGATGTCTCCCCCCCCAAAAGCCACGGATTCTGCTCTCTCTTTTTTTATGAGACCCCCTGTCAATCTATCAACTCGGGGTGGATTTTCCTGGGTTCCAAAAGGGTCGCCAGGTAAGATCTCTTTTAAGTTCCGTGGTTCCTTGCTCATTGGGCAACGATTGTCCATCACTGGGCCCCGACTTTCGGGAACCCGCCGCACATCTTCTTCTTCTTTTTTTTTGTCAGCAGGTGTCTTGAAGTAGCGGAAGATGCTTCAAAGCGTTCCATGGAACCAATCGTGTCATGGACGGGGGCAACAACTGCTTCTCTATTCTCCCAGAATTGATGACACCGTCCCTTTTCCATTCCGGGTGGAGGAGAGGAGTCATCAATCAAAAAGCGGCTCCTGATTAAGCAGAGGTTTGCTACAGGGAGGCGGCGTGTCATTCAAACCATTGTCAGAAGTCCCGGCTACTGTGGTCTTGAAATCATAGCAGGGTCTGCTAGGGCCGTCACGGCCGTTTCTCACATAGGCATGTTTTTCCATAGCACTTCGGTTTGTCAGAGACATGTTTGCCCAGCGTTGGTTTCAGCAGTGTCTTATTTGGCCCCACGCTTGCTGGCAGCATGGCTGGAGCTTTTAAAATATCATGTTGACCCATGCTTATCCAGCTTTGTTCGCACCAGACCGGGCGGTGAGAGATCATACTTTCGTGTGATGCCAGCATGATTGATCATGACGAATGCTGGCTTTGACGCTGCTTTGTGGGTTCCTGCGTTATGGGGCAGGTTTGAGTTTACGAGTAAGCGGTTGCATGGGCCGAGGACATGCATGTGGTTTGCAATGCGTGGTCTTTGATCACCGACCAAGGTTGCATTGGTATGTTTGCCAATTCTCCAAGCAACATTCTGAGGTCTTGCAACTGTTGGTCAGTGATTGGCACCAAGGTAGTGCTCATTGAGAATTGTCCTAAGCCAATCGTGGCCAGCAGGCACTTGCCACCATCTTGGTGAGCGAGATGGGGGACAAGTGGCTCGGCCAAGACGTTCTTGTACGCAGATGCCTCGCGTAAACTGACATATTGGCCAGCAGAACGGCGATCATCATTTTGCTAAATTTTGATCAGATGGTTGGCCAAGGCAAGGGCACATTTGACAATGTCTTCGGCTTTTTACGTTGCCGAGAAACCTCCAACCTGCAGAGCATGACCGTAAAAAACATAATCCCCTCATCTTCCGTCAAGACTCCCATTGCCCCCAGCTGCAGATTCTGAGCTAAGGGGATTCCTTCCAGGATTCCATTTGAGCTTATGGTTTATGGCATGTGAGGGAGCTGCCCAGTTTGGATCATGTGAATGCAAGCGAGCGAGAGGTGAGTTCTAGGAGCGCTAGAACGAAAGACGTGCCCTTCACTTTGGGGTTTCCGGTAGCCTCGTTTGGGGTGTCGGTTTTAAAGGGAAACCCAAAGAAACACCCACCCATTTTGGGGGTCCAAGCTCACAAAAGAGCCGCCAGTTTCAAGCTGCATTTTGGATCCACTTGTTGCATCCTAGGTTTAAGTTTGGCCAAGACGCCGAACGGCCCAACAGCGCAAGTTCTTCTTTCAATTAACCTGAAAGGGACGGAGCCTGAAGGGAGAAACCGCATCAACCGGGCATGCGTATAGACCAAATATGAAGAGAGAGCGTGAGATCAATAAGATGATGTTAGGATATGAATGAGTACCTTCAAGAGATAGAACAATATGCAGTACCAAGCATCATTTGCAACAATTCACAGCCACCTTTAAACCGGCATCCCGGCTTAGGTTTCCATTCATGGGGTTCGTGTTCGCGGGCAATTATGCGACTTTCCAACTTAGGCTTCATGTGCTCCTTTCGGGGAAATAATTGAGGGGTCCGTTTGAAGCAACTTCGTGGCAGTCTTTTTGGGGGGTGTCCCATTTTGGGGCGTTGATCACGGGAAACACCCGAATGAAATTCGGTAGGTTGGCACGCAACACCTCCCTGTGGGTGTGTTCGTCCCCGAAAAAAATACCAGGTACCAGGGAGCTCAGCACCCGGGTGGCTCGTCTTTTTCTTTTCAGGCTAGGTTCTCCCTTTGGCTTTCCCGAAAGGAAACACCAAGAACCGGGTGCCCTCAAGGCACTCGAATTGCCTTTCAGTTTCTTTTTAGGAAACCTAAGAGCCCTTTGGTCAGTCATTGGAAAAAAATGCCCACCCCCCTGTTGTATTGGACGCTTGCCCAGCCTCCCATCGGTTTGTCCAAGGACCTTCTTCCTCACCATGGTCCTGGCCATGCGCAAGAGCCGGAGGTCTGGGAAAGCTACGAGACCGCGTATGTTTTTTTTTGGGGGGGCGGGGATACCCCCTTTGGGCTTGGTGGGGGAAACACCACGAAAAATCACCATGTTGGGTTCAACCGACTATTTTGACACACCCAAAGTTGATTGATTCTGGAAGAAACTTCGGACTGTTTTAAAGGGAAGAGGGACTGCTCTGTAATCGCTGGTAGGGGAATTTGATCCTTTTCAACCAGGGTTGTGGGATCAAGGGGTTTCTCCCCACTTCTGTGATACAAGGGAATCCCCCTTTCTATGAACACAATAGTCTTTGGAAAGCCCTTTCCGTTGTATCACAGAAGTGGTCATTCCACACAGCCCTGTTTTCAATGCTTTTGCGGGTCAGTGCAGTCATTCCACTGAATCGGATGTTGGCGTTAAACCTCACCCACATTTGCCTGCTCCATATGTGTGGCAGTTGCAGGTTACACAAACCTCGCCCACTGTCATTGAGCCTACAATAGCCGACAGCAAGGCACACATCGGGGAATTCCAAAAGGTGATCGTAGGGTTAGACCGAAAGGGTTGCAAACCACTCCGCGCGATATTGATAGACTAGTTGAGCTCAATGAAGCACATGTACAACAACTCTTGCCACGTTCAAATGAATTAGCCAGTGCTTGAGACATGTCCTTTTCTTGGTGACTTGTGTTCGACCTCATTGCTCTTGACCTACTGAAAATTGGATGTTTTTCCTACTGTCCAACGGTTTTCCACTCTTTGCAAGTGGTCAAGACTTGACCCGGCTCAGTTTGGTCGGAAACTGGACCTTTGCTGGTATGCCTGGTGCTGTAGTGGATGCGGCTGGGTGGTTGTTTAGAAAGAAGGATGCCTGGAAAGAATGGGGAAGGTACCCCTAGAAGGTTTGTATGGGCCACACCTTGCACTATTTTATGGCCCTGGTTGTCCCCTGCGAGCGCAAGCTGCTCCTTGTTCAGCTTTTTTGATGACCTGGGATATATTCATGTCGTCATGACTGCTGGCAGGGAGTAAGATCAGGTGGGGGCTTGTTGTTGGGTCCTTTTCGGAGTGTTTCTTTTTCGGCGTTCTCAGTTTTACCCACGATGACCTGTCAAAACATGGTCATACACCTGCGTTTCATTTTGTTCGCATTATCTGTCTGCTTTCTGAATATTGTTTGAAGACCGTTTGTGTCTTTGCTTTCCCGCACGAGATCCGGCATGTTTTTCGACCAACCTTGCCCAAAAGGGGTGTGCTTTTCGTACCCCTTATTAACCAGGCTCCCGCCTGCTGCCGCCGACCCTCGGCGCATTAAGGGAACAGTCACAAGGACCGGTCCTGAAACACGTCCGCAAACCCGGGGACCACTTAGAAGATCCTCTACGACCACAAACAAGGATTAACGGAAAAGTCAGAAATAGGGCAGCTAGTCCGTTAATTACCGCTTGGGCCGGCTTGCGCCCAAGTCACTTCGAGTTGGCGCCTCTCCCGGGGTCGCCCTGAAACTGGCCCTCCCGAAGTTGCCCTGGACCGGTCGCCGGCAGGGACCGGGACTTGGGACCCTATCCAGGCTGGTCCCAGTCTGGCGCGGTTTGACTCGACGTATTGGACTCTCTTGCAGACAGATCCAGGGATCCTCTACTACCACAAGGATTAACGGAAAAGTCAGACAGATGACAGCTCGTCCGTCAATAACCGCACGGGCCGGTTTGTGCCGAAGTCACGTTGAGCTGGTCCTAGAAACCAGGCTGTTGGTCCCCCTCAACTGGTCGCAATCAGTGACGACCTGGGACCCTGTCCAGTGTCCTGGGTGCCAGTCCGGAAAGTTTTCTGGAGCTTTTTGAGGTCGCACCACAGCAATTTGAAGTACCAGTGGTCACACCAGGACTCGATCCCGGGACCGGCTTCTCAGACTGGTCCCAGGACCGGTCCCAGGACCGGTTTTGGCTGACTACGAGTAATCTGAAACAGCAGAACCAGGGTCCCAGGACCGGTCCTGGGAATACACTTTTTGTGCGTTCGGGCGTGCGCTTCGGGGACTATCATTGATTCCAATCACTTCCAGTTGCATCCCACGCCGGTCCCCTCTGCAGGAGGCTGGGACGGGAGGCAGAGGGTCGGCGGATTTCAACATACTTAACATAAACAAACGTTAGAAATCCCGAGCACTGAATTGAGCACTGCTTGATTTCCCAGCCTCAGAGAGACCCTTGGACGCTACGCCGCAAGTTCAAGCCAAACCGAACCGATGAGGGGTCTCGCCCCGCGCGCGGTATGGGCCTTGCTTTGCTGCCTTGGAGCAGCAGAGCTTGAGCCGGAGGAGCTGGCGTTGTTGCAGAAGAGGCGGGGTGAGTCTAATGTTGACCCAGGATCTAAGTTGAATAGGGGGGGTGTTCCCTCCAAAAGTGGTCTGAATCCAACCACTAAAAGGGGACACCCCCCCAACCAATTTGTTCCTGCATGGGCTGTGTTCTTGTCTTTGGACCCCAGGCAATTGAGCTTTTTTTCGCCTTAACTTGTGAGTGATACTGTCAGCTTGGGCCAGAAGGGGCCCAGCAAAGCCACAGGTTTAGGGGATCAAACCGCCCCCGACTTTTTGAAATGGGGTTGCGTGTCCCAGGTTGGCGCTTGGCCGTTTTCGGGGTCGTTTTTTTTCCCTTTAGGCTTTAAGGGCCAAGCTCGCGGCTTCTGGTCCAAGAGCGGAGACACCATTGGGGGGACCCTATGGAGTGGGGAGGCTTGGCGCCCGAAGAACCGGAGAAAACTCTGAGTTGCTTGGGCGACTCGGGCTTCGATCTACCTCCCCCCATTTCAATCATTTCATGAGTCGGGCGAATGTGGAAAGGTCAAGCGGCAAAGACGCTGCTATTGGGAATGCCATCAGCCTTTGCGGTTCAGGGTCGTGAGTTTGCTTCGTATCAGAAATGCAACAGCTCGGTTCCCCCGAGCCTTAAAGAAGGGAGATGGGCACAGGGAATCCGAGGCTCTTTCTGCGCGCGTGAAAGATGGGCCGCCTGGCCAGGTTGGATGTGAGCCGGAACGATCGGCCTGCTTTGCCTCTGACGCTTGGCGCCCGATGTTTTGATGCACGGCGGGAAAGGATGGTCCGACAACTGCTTAAAGTTCCTCGGACCACAAATCAGGGTTGTGGGATCACTCGGGGTTTTTCCCACCCACTTCTGTGATACTTTAGGGATTCTCCCCCCTGGCAGGTTTGTATTTGAGAAGCCCTTTTTGGTTGTCTCACAGAAGTGGATTCCATTTTTCGCACAGCGCCAGCGGGGCTTGGGCCCCAAAGCTTGGATCGTGTTTGCCCCCAGAGTTCCAGCAGGTGATTGGGCGAAAGTGAGGTCTTTGTGGACTATCCAGGCGGGATTAGGAAACTGGGGGCACCTGGTTGAATTGAGTTTCCATTTGACTTAGCATTGATTTGAACGCATTGATGGACTTGAACTTCCATCTGCTTTTGTCTTGCTAGAGCTTCCTGTTGAGATTTGCAAATGAGTTTCAATTATGATTTAGTATTGCTGGAGCATAATTTTGCAGTTTGGAACTGAGTTTCCGTTGGATTAGCCTTGCTGGAGCTTCCCTTTGAGATTTATTTTGGGGGGCTATCCCCTTTGTGGGTTTGATGGTGGTCAGGTTTTAAACAAGAGACATGCAAGAAAACACGCGTTAGGGAATGCTGAGCATTGTGGATTTGAGGAGCAGGCCCACATCTGTCAGACGGTCGAGTTCGCTTCTTCTCGCTACGTAGATATTTGAGGAATTCATGACTACACAAGAGCCCCTTCCTTGAACGCAGTTGAACGACACCTACAGGTTATGTAAATGAGGTGGCGTATCAAGTTGAATCTCGTGCTACATGTGGACCCCATATATATATATATATATATATACATATATATATATATATCTATATCAGGCCTTGAGCTATCAAGCATTGCACTACAGAGCGTTTGCTTGAACGCTGTGACAGCACTACACGTTTGCGTTTGTATTTTGACGAGAGAGAGCGAGACAGAGAGAGAGAGAGAGAGAGAGAGAGAGAGAGAGAGAGAGAGACCATCTTCTCGACACAACCACGGGACGTCGACATGTCACCTACAGATCCGGCTTCCCAACGCGCAGTAGCCCGGCACGCAACAGCGAAAAACGAGAAATCCCGTGGAACACCAACACCGAACAACAGGCCCTACACTGCCTGCCCAGGCACCCAAAGATCCAAAGAAACTGTAGTTCACACTGCGTTTGCAACCCAAAGAGCCGGACAGGGTGCAAGTACATGGCGCAATTCCTCATATTTGACTTTCATCTTTTCCTTTAAACCCCCCAAAGGAAGAAGAAGCATGAGCCATCTACCTATCTCCCTGGCTTTCGCTTTCACGAGTTCGAGCTGAGGGCCTGGGTTCACTTTCCGAAGTGCGGCAGCTCCTTCTTGAACATGCTGATCCACCAGCCGGATTTCTGCGACGTCGCTCCGGGCTTCTCCGTGGACGAGGACAACTTCGGAACCTGCTTCAGCTTCAACTTCAACGATGTGTGTGAGGACCTCTGCGACACCCAGCGGTTGCGATGCCAGCCAGTTGTGCACGAGTGCATTGGGAGCCAATATACGGAGCTGAAAGGCCACATGGTGGGAATGTTTCGGCAGCCCGAGCAGCGCATTCTCTCTGCATACCACGACGAGCAACACAACTGGCTGGTGGAGGGTGATTGCGAGGAAAAAGCTGCACCGAAGCCAGCGCTCCCAATCTTCGCAGAGCTCTTTGGCGGCACCGTCACGTACCAACTCACCGGCGAAGGTTATGCCGGAGACCACAAGCTGCCGCTGCTGCCTGACCTGCCCGTGCGCACGCGGGCCATGGCAGAGGAGGCGGTCAGGCGGGTGTCGGGCTTCGCCTTTGTGGGCATCACGGATGAATGGGATTCTTGACTGCTATTGGGTTGGATCTTTAGACTTCAACTTTTGCTTGAAATAAAGGTGTTTTCCACTAAACCCCCCAAAAAGTGGTCCACTTTTTGCAGGATCGTTGCAGCAAGGATTTGTCCGTCTGCCTCTTCCACGCGACGTTCGGCACCAAATGCCGCGCTTTGGACTTCTTGGACGTGAGGCCGGGGACCAGCGAGGCGGAAGTCTACGACACCGCGCCGCTGCGAGGCTATCGAGACGAGCTGGACGGCATGGTGTATCAGGAGGCGCTGCGGATCTTCCAGGCGAACCTGCTGAAGTACAATGTGTCAATGGACTCATGCCAGCGCTGCTTTAATGAGGCTCAGGGCGTATGACCCCTCAAGTCTCCCCAGCATTTTGTGCAGATAGCGTGAAGCTGGAAAAGAGGCTCGGAAAACCGTTCCCGCGCTTTTGTGACAGTCCCTGGAGCGGTTCCGGTCCCCAGGCGGCTTCCAATGTGGTTCCGGCAGATCGCAGATTTTGCGGCTGGGGCCGCTTGTTGGAAGCAACACACCCACACACACAAGTTGTCAGGCAGGCAGGCCGGCAGGGAGGCAGAGACCCAGAAAGTCGAGCAAGAGGCGACTCGTGGTCTCGCCAGGATAGCGCTGATCAGCTCCCAGTCCGCCCTTTGGGTCCGGAGCCAAGTGACCGCGAGTGACCCATTTGGGTCCCAGAGCACTCTCAACCCGAAGGAGCGATGGTCCAAACCAATGGGCGCGGTTTTTTCCGCCCTTGTCAAGAAGTCATTTTGTGTCGACCATCCTAATCCCAGCATGGGTGTGCTTTTGATTGGTTAGTGTGTTTGGAAACAGATGGGCTGCACTGGTTTAGTGTTGATTTTCTTATGTTTTTTTCTTTTTTACCAGGACCAGCTCTTTGTCCAAAAGGTGGCCTATGACAATCAGGTTTAGATTGCGACTCAGCGGATGTGCGATGGAATTCACGTTTGCGCAAGTGATGGCGATTAGCAAGTGGTGAAAAACAGAACGGAGCATCTGCCTTTCCTCTTGAGGATACAGTCCATTTCTGCACCTGAGTCACTGAGTGGCTGCTTCACGAGGTAGAAATGCAACATTGATCAAAGAAAGGATTCTGAGCGCTTCGCAAAGCGGATCAATGCGCCGATCAGAAGGCACGGAAAAACTCATCAGGGATCGGGGTTGCTTCTGTTCCCGGACAAGTGGCCCTAAGATGTGGTTGTTTGGGGTCTGGACCCACCCCTTCAAAGGGATCGGAACCACAGGAGGGACGTGTTTAAACCATGGTCAACAACCAGGTGGTTGAATCAAGCAGCCCTGGTCGTTGGGCAAAGCACCTCAGGCTAAACCTGGGCAAAAGCATCAGAATTCCCCTACCCCCAGCTGCCAAGCACATTTTCTACCAATCCTCTTCGAAGGCCGAACCGGTTCCAAGACCCTTTCCAGCAAAAGCGGAGTGGGGGGGGGGGGGCAGCAAGACCGCTTTCACCAGACCCGATGCCGGAGGTCATGATGCTGGTGTCTACCAGCATCGGTGTCATGCTGAGGAGGTGCGGCAGTCTTACACGCTGCAGTATACGCAACTGGGGCATGTTTGTTAGATATTTGCATCCATCTCCCGTAGCTGATGCATCTGGAAGCCTTTGTAGTTTGCATTTGTTGGACGGCTTAATACATGTAGCATCCTCGGCAGCTCCTACATGCCCCAAACACTGGTCTATTTTAGTTCTCCCCAGGGGACCCGGTGTGTTTGGGGGACCCCGTTGTGTTTGGATTTGTTTGGTCGTCTCAGGAAGTGAGGTAGAGTGTACCTCTGATCGACAGCCCCCTCCAAGGGCGACAAGGCCCATGCGAAATAAACGCAGGGATCCCTATGAACCCGGTGCTCTCCAGTCCTCTCCCCAGTCCCTTTCTTTGGCCCATAGGACAGCAATAGGCAGGCAACAGGGAACTGTGTTTTCTTTCCCAGGCCAGACTTGAAAGGGAGGGGCTCAATATATTTCGCCTCAAGGGTTTTATCAATCGTAGGTCAACATAAAGGGACTCATGAATCTGGGGTGGGCAGCTGGAGCAGGCTGACGCTTACCATCGGGGACGCGGTTATCATCCGGCTGTCTGCGGCAGCTGCCTGCCTGGGTAAACTCAGCGCTGGGCAAACGTTTGAGCCAGAGCCTCCATGTTACGGTTCTCACTTCCTGACTCCCTGGACTCTCTTTTTGGCAAGACCATCTTGGTGGTAAATGTAAACAAAAATCGGACTTGTTTGGCCAGTCCACTCAAGTGCGCAAGTAGGTGTTGGCAATTTCATGACTGGGTTGCATATGCAACCAGACTTTGAAATGAGCCATGGTCAACATCAGGGGCCCGTGTTGGGTCCAAACGGGAGCCCCGGCCATATGTTTGACAGGCAGATGAGACCTTGGAGCGCAGCTGATCACTTCACACTTTGCAACAGGCGGGTGAAACATGGGGTAACCCCAAACGGCTTGCCTTATGTGGAATGGACGAAACCTGCGGTCCAATTCCTGGTGGTTGAATTTCGACCCATACCCGTATATTGCATGAACTGGGGGCCATCTTCATGGCTGGTTATGGTGATAGTTCTCTTGAAATGAGTCAACCGAGGCGGAGCTTAGTGTTGACACCGGCCCACATGTTCATCCGTTACGTGGCAGGTATGACAAGAAGATCCTATCTCCCCACTGAGTCACTGGCGTGTTTTGATTGACTGCTTCCCCTCGAAACCAACCCCATACATAGAAATAAAACGACAAGCACCCACCATCTATCCCTGATCTTTGGAAGCCTTACGCAGCTCCAAACGGTTTGGGGTTCGAATTGGGGAGGTCTGTGGCAGGTCACCTCTTCGGAATTCAGAGAGGAAGGAGCGGTCTGATTAATCCAACAGGCCAAAAGGATGAGCTCTGGCAAACACGCGGGAAACTCTCCAGAAAGAGCCCAAAGGAACCATGTAATGCCCAAACCAAAAGGGAGCAACCAACAAAAATCATCCAAATCGAAGCAACCAAACCAAAATTGACATTGTAACCATTTGGGGTTCTCAAATCGTGGATCCATTTCCTAAATGTTTTTTTCATGTTGGCGTCCCTTTAAACAGCCACTATGTCCGAAATGTGCGAAATCCCTTCGGGTGTGTTTCTTGTTGAGGGTGCCCCTTTTTGGTGGTTTGCAAGGGAAACGAAGGGGAAACCACATACCCCTATATATATATATATATATATATATATATATGTGATTCTCTCTTTTTTTTGGGGGGGGGGTTCGCCTAAAAAGACGGGGTCTCCCCGAGGAAAAACAAAAACCACCACACACCCATTTTGAGAACCTCGAGTCGTCGGTCGCCGAGGCTTTGATGATCCTCTTCGGCCTCCAGTCCTTCCGGGAGCTCGCAGCGGGCGAACGCGCGGCGGGCTCGTTCGCGGTGGCTTCGGTTTCCGCTCGTGTGGAGCCAGAAGCAAAACTCGGGGACTTGGAGTAAGTCACTAGGTCTCCTGGGAGGGGCCCCTAGGGCAGGGGTTCGGCAGAGAATTGGATTAGCATTGGCTGAGCATTGCCTAGGGCCCCCAGTAGTGCCCACTTTTACCGTTTTTTTTGGGGGGAGGGTTCCCCTACTACAATAGACTAAACCCAAAAAAGAAACGGTACCCTTATTCTCTCTCAAAATCTGGAGGACCCAAGGCATACGGGCCAGCCGGAACCAGTAGAGCTTGCTCAAAACCCGGGTATAAGATTTGCAGGTTGGAAGGATATAGTCCCAAGCATAAATGGGTGAGGGGTAAAGGACAATTCCATGAATGGGTGCCGGTATCTGCATTTCTCAATTCTTTACGTGATTCTGGGTAGACATCTTAATACCGGGTTTGTGTGGAATCCGATGGTTTCAATGTAAATCGATCAACTTTTCATCTTGTGAAATCTGAAGGTGTCCACTGCAACTGGAATCCAGATCCCACATGGACTTGGATCGGGAGCTCATAGATTATGACCGCACCAAAACCTCATAAACATGATTGCGAGAGTGATTTTACTTAACCTTGGCCGGGTAACGAAGAGATCCCTGAAACTCCCTCAGAGTCTTAGAGAGTTTCTTGTGAGAGTGACCATTCCGGTAAGGGAAAGAGACGGAGCACCTTCAAACCACTGGAATCCGCTGCCTGGGTTATACTTTCCCATAGTGACAGTCTCAATGGAAACCACCGGTAACTTGCAACATCTTGCAACTTGTGAAGAGGAAATCCAGTGACGCTTTTTGTGGAATGTAGCGGGGCTATGTTCCCCATACAGGGGTGATGCTCAGACCAACGCGTCCTATTGCCTCGAGGTCTCGGTGCTGTGCACAGCAAGCAGGTGGCTCTTTTGTTAGAGATCCACAAGCCTTGTCTTAGACTCTTTCGCGTACTGGATATAGAGCATGTTCTAGAATCGCGAAGAGACAGCACTAGAGTCTTAGTGTACCCGGTTGATACAACACGAAACATTAGGCACGGAATTACAGATAGTCTTGCGCAAGATTTATCAAGTTTAATCCAGTGTTGCTTGGAGTCCGCTTGCCTCTTGTAAGTTCTGCGCTATTTTTTTTGGAGGTTCTCCACCTGACCACCGGCCATGCCTCCGCACATTTGACTAGGTCCCCCAGTATTGCCAACTTTTGCCAACTTTTTTGGGGGGGGGGGGGGAGGGTTCCCCTACTAAAATAGACTACAGAAGAAAGAAACGGTACCCTTATTCTAACCTCTCTAATAGAGCATACTGTGGCTGGATGAAATCCTGCACCACTTGGGATAGATGAAACCGTATAAATACTGCGATATTCCACCTGCCAACTGGTGCAGGATGTGGTTCACCCACAGTACCTCCGCACGTTTGAGTTGAACACGGTCTCGCGTCTCCCGCGCCACGCACCGTGCGAGGGGAGGCCAGCGAGGATGACGACGACGACAGGGGAGCCGCCGACAAGGAGATCGAGGGGGCACTCAGCAAGGCGGGAGAACGAGCCATCCCAGAGGGTCCAAGTACTTCATGAGGATGGCTTTTGGGGGGCAAAAAGGGATCTAAGTACCTCCTTAGAAAGCACTTGGACCCTCTGGGATATGATGCCGGTGGAAGCGATTTTCAGATGCATTCCTTTTCAAACGAGCTCACTTAGATGTGAGGATAAAGCAGGTCAACGTTTGCCTGGGCTTTGATTTTAAAAGGTGTGCTTTTCAACAATATCCATTCATGATAAGAGCAGGGCAACGTTTACCCAGGCTCTTTTGAAGTAGTTTCCATTTTCCAACAAGCTCGGGCCCGGGATAAACAGCAAGCCGATGTTTTGCGCTCCTGGTCCTTTCAAAGGGAACTTTTCCAGTTGTTTGGCGGGTTTGGTCCTTGTGTGCTTTCTCGGTTGATATTTGTGCCATTCATGTTCATCGGCCTTAGCGTCCTTCGCGTCGACCGCCTTCCAGCCGTTCTGTGATCGCAGCAACCCCTTGCCCAATTTTGTCAAATCGCCTCCAACCTAGATAAGCTACTGACACATTTGGCTGCGGATCAAAAATAGGTACCTAAAATGGAACCCTGGCAAATGGAACCAAGGACTAAAACCTGCGGTCCCCCGGTGTTGCGGCCGGACTCGTGGGGGTTCGTGCTGTCGCCTTTTGATGACATGCCTCTGATTCCAATAGAAGAGCAGAACTGACATACTCTATGCTGAGCGCGCCGTTTTCCGTGTTTTTGGCACCTTACAGGTTGGTGGGGTGCGCAGCGGCTGTATGCGAAGAGTGGTCCACAGGTCATGGTTTGATTGAGGTTCCCCTCCCCCAATTGCTAAGTGCAAAAAGTCTAGGGGTTGGTTCCTTTTCCATTCTTTTCAGCCATCGTTCTTTTCAAAAACCAGCCGTTTTCCAGGGTTAAGGATCCCTGAAAAGAATGGGGAAGTTACCCCTAGAAAAGGGGCCACTGATTGCAGAAATGGTGCAAACAGCTGGTTGCCGCAGGCTCCAGGAACACCACACGTGTGAAACTGAAACCTCCGAGCCCTCCAAGGTCTATTGGCAATGTTTTGGGGCATTTTTCAGCGACGGTTTTGCCCAAGCCCTGCCTCGGTGTTTCCGGTGGTCGCGACTCTTTCCGAAAATTCGGACTTGCATCTTTGGGCTCACTCACTGGCTATTTAGATCTATTTAGCCGCAGAAAGAGACCTTGCTTTGGAGTCTCGGATTTGACTGGTGACCTCTTAACACCCTGCTCGGTGAAAAGTCAGGGGTCCTAGAAGACGGGCATTTTCAGTCAAAGGCTTTGCTGATGACCAGGGGGTGTACAACTCAGGTGGCCTTACAATGTTGTCAATGACCTAAACTGATGTTTGGAGCTGTCTACATTTTCTCACGGGCCAGGTCAAGCGGTTCGTTGTCATCTTTTGCTCTTCTTTTTGTGGCGGTTGCGTGTGTTTTTCTGCATCTAAAACCGGGCGCCCCTTTTTCTCCTGGAAATCCGCTGGATCTTGGTGAGGTCGACTTGTTTCTGAGCCCTAAGTGAGGATGTGGCGTTGGCATTGGCCACTTGGGGCCTGCGAAATTATGCTGATAAAAGGGTTTCATGTTAGTTTGTAGGCGAGTTTTCAGAAGAGCCAACTAGCAGAAATATGCTTTTCCAGCCCCATTCAGTACTATTTCGGTTTCATTGAGGGTTCCTTCTCCGCTTCCCTTCTTCTCGTGCTAGCTCGTTTTCCCAAAGTGTTTTGTTTTAGGGCAAGTCATTGCTGGGCTTGCGCCTCCCCTTTTGGGCTTTTCTTTCTCGCCTCGCGCGCAGTCGAAGAAACGGGGCAGCCACTCGTTGCTGGACATATTCCGGTTTTCGGTGTCCCGGCCGGCAAGTTGTGAGAATGGACCCGAGTTGGGCGAAGTTGGTTACAGTGGGGTGAAAGGAGTTTGTCTCATTTCCCCATGGTTTAGTCCTTCCCTTTAACATGAAAGGAATGCTGCCATCTACTTTCACCGCAAACAGCCATCCCTCGTCCTTCTTAAGAGAAACCAAAGGTTAGTTTAAACATGTGTTCGTAGCTGGTTGGCCTAATCCCACCCCCAAAGAAGTTAGTGTGGGGGACGGCCGGGTGTTGTACTTTTCTTAAACGAGCTGGATTCCAAGAGAAATGCCCTTGTGGGGAATCGATTTCCCAAGCTATTGTTGTTTCCTTCATCACAAAAGGAGGGGTAGGGTGGAGTTAGGATTAAGTTAGGATGCATTTTACATTTTGCCGGTGACTTAAAAGGAATCGATAAAGCATGTTTCCTTGCACTCAGGCAACAGCACTACCCTTGCTGACTGCTTTTGCCAACATGTTCAAAGATCCACGTACATGTTAGCAAAGCCCCCCTCAGTCCTGTTTTGCAGATGGGAAAAGGAGTCCAAACCTTCGGCGAGATCATTTCACCGGCCCACTCTGTTGACCGTACCTCTTTGACGGTTTCTCTGCGAAGGGTTTGGCACCACTTCGGAGTTGCTCACCGAGGAGAAAGGCTCCTTTCAAAATTCCCTGTAAGGTTGGCGAATAGGTGCCAGTGTCAAATCTTGCTGTGCCCATGGGCTGGGTTGATCTTGGATCCTTTGCTTGTGGGTTGCATGAATAGTACTGCTCCCCGTTTCGCTGAGGGTTTTAGTTGAAGCCGCTGTGAACCGTCAGTCTCCCTCAGGCCAGGTTGCTTCTGCAAGAAACCCGAGGGAGAATGGATCTCAACTTTACACATTACTTGCTGGAACATTTTCCTGGGCCCCAATTTAGGCGAGCAACCCTGTTGGGGTGAATGGTCACCAATAACAGGGTGTGCCTGTGTGTTTTTCCACCAGAATCCGCAGGTGTGGGAAGCAAGCCAAAGCCCCTTGGAAGACCCTACCTACAATCCCTACTATGGATGGTTGCAGGCCTTATTAAGGGCTTGATGGGGGCTTTTTTAGGGCTCCCTCCCCCCTCCCCTCCCTCCCCTCCCTCCCCCGCATGACCACTGACCCGCCCGAGGTTTTGATCTTCCTGGCGGAGTGGGGGGACCGCTCCATGTTGGCAACCATCACCTTGGCCAGCACCAAGAGCGCCCTGGGGGTCTTCATCGGCGGCTGCGCCTTTGGCTTGTTCTTTAGATGTGTTTGTTCTTCTTCTTCTTTTTTTGAAAGACATGTATGTTGTTATTTTCAGTTCTTTTCTTTTTTTTTATAAGATATTTTATATATGTATATATATATATATGTTTAATGATACTCCAGCGGCTGAGGAGCGTTTGGTTTTGCGGTGTTTGTTTTGTTTGAGGGGATGTCCCATTCGCCTTGTTCCTTCCAGGGCGTGTTTTGTTGCTGAGGATACGCTTTTTGATTACTTATTAACAATTTTCAGGGGCCGTGGTTTTGAGACTCACCCGTTTAGATGCTGCATGCTCCCTCAAGGTAGGGACCATATTATTGCTTGCGAATTGGATGGTTTTCCCCGTTTTGGGACAGTCTGTCCAAAGAATTGTGGTCCATGTTGGGAACTAACTCTAAATCTCCCAAGCTCTAATTGTTTGTTCAGGCCAATAGTATGCAACAGTGAATGCAGATCTGGTTTGGGTGTGTGGTTTTACGTGTACAATTTTGTGGGGTGGTTTTTCAGGGAAACTAACAAGGACACCGCCCTCTTTGTGTCCAAATCCCTGTTTTGGCACGACATGGGTGCTTCTCAAAAAAAAGGGACGAATTCGTTGCTTTGGTTTCCTTTCGGTTTCCGCTTGAATAAAAGGGGGGCGATTCGATTTTGAGACCCCCACATACTGTGGATGAACGAAATCCTGCACCACCTAAGAAACCCGGGAATGATGATTCCCCTGTAAATACCAACAAACAATAGTTTCCCATGGTTTCGTAGGTGGTGCAGGATTTTTTCCATCCACAGTATTAGACAAGAAACTTTACGGTGGTTTTCCTTTTGGCATCACAAACGATGGCCAGTCCGACGAACATCCATATACAGACCAGAAAATACATGACAACCCAGCCATCTTGTAATTGATCAAGCGAAAGCGCGCCTGCGGGCTCTCTGTTGGTGGAGTTGGTGCTTTCGTTCAAGGCATAGGCCAGTTGCTACGCGATAATGTCTCACCAAACCAAGAAAACAATCTCGAACATATACGTGTCCTTTCGTCTTCCCTTGAAGCCAACCAAAGAGGAACCCACACTTCCCTGAAAGCCAACCCCCCAATCTCCCCTTTTCCCCAGACTTCACCCCCAGAAGAACAACAAATTTGGTGCATTTTGCTTGGATGGTAGGACTTTAACTTTTTGCCAACTAATGGGTGTTCCATTAAACCACTAAAAGTGAAACTTTTAGCAGGGGAGCAGAAAGCAACCAAGACTTGAAGCCCAACCAAAGAGGACCCCCACCAAAGAACAAAACCAACGACAACTCCGAGGGCCTGCCTCGAATCGAAAGGCTTGGGCCACCTCGTGGCCGGCACCTTGGCCGTGGTGAGCGGCCACTACCTGGAAGAGCACGCCACTGGCCCGGAGATGAAGCAAGTTCTGTGGCTACCTTTTTCGAGCCGGTGCCCGAAAATGGGGGGAAGGAACCTCCAACTGATTCCCCCCCGCCCCCGAAAAGGAAAAAGAAAAGAAAACGGGGGGCCTCGATGCAAACGGCGGTTTCTGTCCCGAAAGGATCGGAACCTTGAGAGGTGGATGGTTTCCGGTTCAAGCCCCAGTCCGACTGTATAGTTGAGGTTTGTTTATAAAGATTTGACCCATGGTAAATGTGGGCAATGGCCATCGAGTGGGAATAGACACCAAATTGGCATATATGACCGAGTGTCTGGGAATGGACACCAGTAAATTGATTAGCTGTTCAAGGGGGTCGAATCTAGTGAACCCTCTCAAATCGTCGCCGGACTCCGATTCGAAGTCATCGGACGGTACGACGGTTGGGTTTTTTCGCCACTCCAAGCATGGCTTGTGTTTCTTGAGGAAAGGCTGGTGGAACTTGGATTGGAAACAGCCCCATCCCAAATCTCGACTCGAGGCGTGTTAGGGTTTCTGAACTCAGCCTTTGGCAAGGGAGCACAAATGAAGCTCACTGGGCGTCAGAGGTTTGGAGGGTATTGCCTAGAAGCGAGCTTGACCAATCCGCTAGCCCTTCCAAAGCCGGGGGCCATCGGTTTGACCCCAGCAAGCTGTTTCCTCAGCTTAGACCTGAACGCAGCAAATTTGGGCCCAGATTTTTTGAGGGGTTGAAAGCTTTTTGATTTTTCTTAGCTGCTCTTGAATCTCTCTAAAGCTATTAGAGGGAGGCTGACCATGTGAATTGAAGGCTTGGAACACCAACGTTCCACAAGTCCAACCAATGTCCACCAAGTCATGGCCTGGGTCAAAAGAGATTTGCTTCTTCCTTGTGCCCAGGTCAGCGATCGAGTCGTCAAGCTTGTGGGCGGTGTTCTCTTCATCGGCTTTGGTCTCACGACATTGCTGAACATCTACTGAGGCATCGGTCAAAGCGGCTGGGCCGAGTTCTTTTCCGGACTTTCGCTGGGCCACGGATTAGCCGAGGACATGATTTGTCCCCAAATCTACTTCTGGTCGTTGTTTGTTCTTTTTGCGGATGTGCGTTTCTAGTCATTCTTGAAGGGGGAGCCACCAGGAAACCACGTAAACCAAGCACTTGGTTAAGCTTTAAGTGTTTTGCACAGCTATATCTAAGCATTGCGAGCTCATTTGATGTCGGTAGCGAAGCAAAAACCGAATACAGGGGCCAACCTTTGAGGCAAACCCGGACAGGCCTATGTGTGAATAGCGAGTCCCTCAAGGTGTATGCAAGCGACCATTGGAAAGAGCCCTAGTGCAGGTGCTTGACTCTAGACACATATCCACCGTACAGCAAAGCGGTACTAGTCGACTTGGGAGTAGCCGAGAGAAGAAGCAGGGTCAACATTGAAAGGATAATATATTGGTGGCCTTATGAATTCATATGAATTCCACATATCCATTTTACGCCAACATGACCTGCGACTCCGGAGATAATTTTCCGTGCGACGCGTGCGTGTCGCGATGCAGAAGCGTCACAGGCATTTGGCTCGGGCTGCGCTGAAGTTCGACCGTGCAGGAAATGCTTTGAAGTTTCCTTTCGGCTTTTGTGCTTGGCCGCTGGTGGGTTTTAAAGGGAATGATACACCTACCCTCACCCCCTAAAGTCCTGGACTTGCTTTTTTTTTTGGCGGGGAATACCATTTTAGTGGCAAATCAAAAGTTCAGACATTTTTTGGCGAATCCACTCAGGAAGCGAGTGCTTTTTTTAGCTGGTCTGGAACAACGACACATACCATATGGCTATGGGTCAAAATTGAACCACCCGGACACCGCGGCTTTTAGTCCCTGGGGCCCCTACTGTGGATGCACGAAATGTTTCCGTCTCTGGAAGGATTCGATTCCCCTAATACCAACAATGGTTTCAACCATGGTTTCGTAGGTGCGAAGGGATTTTGTCCATCCACAGTATTAGACAAGAAACTTCAGGAAGTATTAGACAATGGTGTTCCATGGTTTGATTTCATGGTGCGAAGGGATGTTGTCCATCCACAGTATGTTTCATCCACAGCCAATGAGTTGAGCTGTCGCTTTCGGAGGCATTTCGCTGGCTTTGTTTGAAACCCCAAAACGCCAGAACACTCTCGGCGGCTTTTTTGAGGCGAAAGGTACTCCTTTTCAGGTTGGATGGAGGGGAAACCAACAGGAATACCACCAAGTGTTTGTTTGGGGGAATGACATACTGTGGATGGACGACATTCTGCTAAGAAACCCTGGAATGATGATTCCCTTGTACATACCAGCCAACAACAGTTTCAACCTCGTTTCAAAGTGGTGTTAACGGATTTTGTGCATCCACAGTATCCTCGAAATTTTCTGGTAGCTGTTAAGGGGCCATCCGCAAAATGGAAACCGCCATGTGTTGTTTTTGTTTGGAGGGGCGGTCATACGTTGACACAGACGGGAGATCAACCCTCTGAGGTCGTTTTGGGAGCCTAAGCCATGCATCCTGCGGCGCCCCCAACCACCGGGCACCGGGCACCGGGCCGTGCGGCCGGCGATATATGGAAAGAGTCAAAAGGACGAGCGCGTCACCGAGGCTTGCGGTGAACAAAACCGCCTCAACAAGCGGTTTGGTCAAACTGCGTGACACATGGCCTTGCAAAGTTTCTCAGTTGGTCATAGTTTGGCGAGCGGGGTTTTGGGTTGTTGGGAGCGTTCATGGGCTTCATTCGGTCAGCATGTTTTTTGCGACATACTCCGCGGCACAGCTGCCCTCTCGACGGAAGAACGGAAGAACCTGTGGACGGACGGACGGACGGAAGAACCTGTGGCACTCTCTACCTTTTCGTTTGCTGGGCTCCCCCTAAAATGTTGACCTCAAAAAGGGGTCCCACTTTCTTCAGTTGCAAGGGTCACTGGGCCACTGCGGGGTCATTGACCCATGTTTAAAGGGTCATGGAGACTCCAGGTTCATGAATCAGACGCTTTTTTAGTTGTGGCCCAGAAAGGCGGGCAAAGTTGAAAATCTTATCGGGTCCACAAAGACCCAGAAAGGCATAGGTGTCCTTTTTAGTTGAGCCTGGTTGAAAATAGATGGGTTCCACTGGTTTAGATGGGTTTTGTTCCATTTACCAGGGACACCCATCTATTTTTCCAAAAGGCCACCTATGCCTATTGGCCACGTTAGCTGGTTCCACTACCTGTCTTGGCATAAGGCCTAGAAGCCTATAAAGCCTAGGTCCCCCAATAGTGCCAACTTTTACAAACTTTTTTGGGGGAGGGTTCCCCTACTAAAATAGACTAAACCGAAAAAAAGAAACGGTACCCTGATTCTAACCTCTCAAATCTGGAGGACCTAGAAAAACAACACACCCCGAAGAAAGTAACTCCAACATAGGGGAGGTGTGGTATCCCAGAGGGACATCATCCCAATCCCACCTAGTCAGACCTGAAGCTTAATTTTGGTAGCCAACGTCCATGGGTCTTGAGTACCACTCGCTTGATCCAAGCTGCACCTTGAGGCCGTACCGTGCAGATCAACCACCAGCGCTTGCTGACGGTCGTGTCCTAGTGTTGCGCTCGAGGCTGTGAAACGCAGCTTGGCCTTGGCCAGTTTGAGGTTGACCGGTGGCACATTGAGCGCCTCAGCTTCCGAAGACATGTTCAGTTAGTAATTACATCACCTTGTTGGCCGAATTGAATTGAGCCTCCTTTTGTTCGGGTGATGCTGAATTGCCTGGTTGAAACAGGCCACTCGACCGCCCTTGGCTTCACTTGGACTCCGGCCAAAGAATTCGGGCGCCTTTTTCGGCGCGAAGGGACTGCAAGCGCCACAGGGAGTGGGGTATCCGATAAGTGTATCTTTAGAAACTTTAGACTTCTTTGGGGATCAGGGGGCCCCAATCTGTGGGAATTCTCAAGGGGGCACCTTGAATCGCAATATGACGGCTTCCTTCAGGGACATTGAGACCTTAGGCCAGCGATTTGATTTTAGTCAAAAGACCGGCACATGCTTGAAAGACGCTTCTTGTATTCTCACTGTTCGCACATCACGCCTTGGTCCATTGCTTCTTGCCAAGCCAGTTTTTCTTCGGGCCGCCTCTTGCCGTGGAGCTCCAAGAAAAGTCTGGCCAATCCTAAGGGCTGGCAAGGGAGTAACCCCGAACCATCGAGAGAGCCGTGCTTGAATTACATGGACAGACCATGGTGTTCAACTTTTTTTTGGATGCCACTTATAGGAAGGCATCAGAGACAAGGGAGCGTCCTATGGTTTGAGCATATCCCTTCAACCAAAATTCAACTCTTTGGACCATCAGAACAGTTCAAGGAAGTTGACAGGGTCAAGCATTCGGCTGGTTCAAAGATATCAGCCTCTTGCCGTGTTCTGAATCTTAAGACCCAAGGTTCTTTTTACGCGGATTTCTTTTGGCCGCAAACATTTTCCAGGATATGTCGATCTGTGGGCCTTGCATTGCAACATGCTTTTTGGCATGGGAAGCCGTTTTGTAAAAGGCTTTGTGTTGTTGTTTGTGTTTCCCATGGTAACTTCCGCCAGAAAGTCACACAAGAACCAAGAAGAAGGCGGGTTTTCGAAAAGAACAGATTTGTCGAGAAGCTTCTCGCCATTAATTTGCCGCTAGGGGAACGCAGCGAGGAGTTGTGCTCCCCCGGCCATCTTGTTCTGAGACTTCAGGTGTTACCAGGACATGTGGCTTGGTGAACATCCAGTTTCACAGCTTATATGGAGTTGGTGAAATACTATGACCTGAGTTACTGAGAATCTCAGTTCTGCCAGTGCTGCACTCCTCCACTCGCCTTGACTGCCGCCGCTGTTTCAGCTTAGCGTGCGAGCTTAGTCACAGAACATAGACATGGAGGGTTGCCCACGAGGGCCTCAGTTTGAACCATTTGATTTGGTGCCGTTTGGCAACGGGTTGGCACAAATGGCGCAACATTGTTCTCTCAAATCCCGTGCCAGCCAAAGATTTGAATCCGAGGAATTGAAGCTCGTGCACCCAAATGCCCTGCATCTTGCCAAGGGTTCAGCTTGAGCAACACATACACACAAGCGCTTGATCTGACACTCTGACACGCGACAAGGGCAAAGCAAGGCTGACTCAAAGCCACAGCAAGGACTTGCCCAGCACACTGTCGAGGCACTCCTTGAACAACATGGAAAGCTCTTTTTTTTTTTTTTAATTGAGGCGCCTTTGCAGATCGAGTTTGAAGGGAAACGAAAAGGAAAGAATATTGACGTCCCAGCCGTTTCTTCCTGACGCTTGCCGCTTAGGGTCACACGGAGAGGCCGGCCGGGCACGTGGCTGCCTTTGGATCTGCAGCGACCCAATGGGAGCCCCATGCACCAGTGCTCAGACACAAGAATCACACAGGAAAAAGGGGTCTGAAGGGGGTATCCACAAGAAACCAATGAGCTACGTAGAAGCCCCGGTTCTGATTCCGAGGTGCTCCCACGAAAAGGTGGGGTTCACTTGAGTGGCTTTCCTCCACACCCCTAAGCAAATCCTAGATCAGCGGGGTCAAAGCAACCTCCACCAAAGCTCCTTTCTTAGGCCCGGGAAATGAGTAGCGAAGGTAGGGAATTGGAGCCGATTGAAAGTTTCAAGTCGAATCCCCGGAGTCACGGGATGGGCCGTGTCTAATTTATATATATATATATACATATACATATTGACACGTTATACATATATATATATATACACACATACAATATATATATATATATATATATCAACCTTTGGCTTCAGACACTTGAGGAATGAGAGCTTTGGGCATGGTTCAAATTTCCAGGGAACCCCAGTAGGATCGGGAAATGGGGATGTTGGAATCATAGAAGTTGGTCTATTGTTGAGTATGATCACGAAATCTTCTGGACAAAGCCTGCTTGTAGTCTGTACTTCGTGCTTTCAGGGTTGGGGAAAAAGTTTGGGATAGCTTGATGTGTTCGCGAGCCAGCCAATCCACGCATCTTGTCCGGCCCGAACTGGAAACAGCTTGTTTCGGCTAGCCAGATGGTCTTACGAATTTCCCCGCTTTGGCGCCGCTATGTCCGATTTGTTTTGGCGCCCGGACAGCTAGCGCCAGACCAAGGGAGGGCAGGATCCCCGCGCAGGTCGCAAGGCGGGATGCCGAGGCATGGCAACCTGAGGAGAGATTCGGTCGATGCTCTGGCCACCAAAACGCCACCTGGGTAGAGAGTCCTGGGTTCCCCTTTTGGTGGTTTCGAACATCATCGTTTGGGCCAATCTGAAGTGAGTTGCCTTTCGGGGTTGATGATGGGGGTATCCTCAACCCTGGCAGATGAAGGTTAGCAAGAGACAGTCCCAATCATATGTGCGGCCGTCCTTCCGATTCGCATAATTCTGGGTAGACTGCGCCGCATAAATAAATGACCTCACAACGTGTTTATGAACAACTCTTCCCAAACGAGGTGGAGCCACTACACAACACGGATTGGCTTTCTCGTGGCTTGCCTGACAACGTCATCCAATAGGGGCCCCTACGGCGACGGAAGAAATCCTGCACTGCGTCAGGGTGTGACCCACATGAAGGGCATAGGGCGCGAACCCCTTGCCCCTATTTCAATGTTGAACAGTGACGCATGAGGGTGGTGCAGGATTTGTGTTAATTGCATGGTTTGGCGTGTGTATTTTTTCGAAGAACCGATGTTGAGCGAGGTGTAGCGAGAATGTTTTCATTCAGGTGGTGCAGGATTTCTTCCTGCAGAGTGCCAAGGTGAGCCTGCTTTGCCCGGCCCTGGGATTGCGTGACCTTCTCAGACAGCTGCAAACGACATTGCACTTCTGCAACGCGGTTAAAGCTCAGGCGGTTGCAGGCAACTGGGTTGTTGCACTAGAACTACCAAGTACAGCCTCGGGCAACCGTAAGTTCAAGACTCAGTCAAAGCGCAGTCAACGCTATAAGTCAACGCTACACTCAACGCTACGAAAGTGCTGGATATCAGCCGCGGGGTCGAGCAACGGAGGGCCAGTTTTTTGTAGGATTTATTTCGTTGCTTTAAAGGCTTTTTTGTTTTTCAGGGTGGGTGGCTTTTCGGCTTTTTGGCTTTTGTGGTGTTTACGTGGGTTTTTGTGGCTTTTGTGGCTTTTCGTTTCGCATCCTCCGCATTCACAGTTCCTCTCTGTTTGTCTTTTCGCATCCTCTGTATTGCCAGTTCCGTTGCGGCAGGTGGCTTTTGGGCTTTGTGGCTTTTGGCGGCTTTCTGGCTTTGGCTTTTAGCATCCTCTGCTTTCCCAGTTGGTTTTTGGCCCTTGGCTTCCTGCATCCTCAGCATCGCAAGTTCCTCTAGTGCCCCCCGCCACCCCCCCTTTCGATTAAAATGCACGCCTAGTTGAATCATCACCTTTTCGATCATCATGCGACAGCTACTTTTTAGATTCTTTGCCCCGAATAGAATCATCACTTTTTCGACCATCATGGGGGGGGGGCTGCCCCCCCCCCCCCCCCCCAACGCCCCGCTGCTTTTTAATATATTTGTTTGGCCCCAATTGAATCATCACTTTTTCGATCATCGTGGGGGGGGCTGCCGCCCCCCCCAACCCCCCCGCTGCTTTTTAGACTTTTTGCCCCTAACATGGGTGTACTTGTTTGGCCCTAATTGAATCATCGTTTTTTAGATCATCTTGGGGGGGCTGCCGCCCCCTGGGCATGTGTCCCTTGAGGCCAGCAAAGTCCAAGATGATGCCAGACCAGAAGGCACCAAGCTGTTTTGCCAGGGTTTGATTGCCAACTCGTCGTAGGAGCATCCTCATGGTGGTCAGTGCCTTCCACAACCCCAGGACTGATGCATGTTTAAGCCCAGCTCCCTTTGAGTAGCCCAGCTGATGTCTTGGCCTGGCGCAGGGTCAATCGCTCGGAAAGCGCGAGCTCTTGGAGTTAGCGAAGAGGCGATCCAGGAAACAATTTACATGTTTCACAAAACTCAGGCCGCCCAGGCCCGCAAGAGGGCGAGGCACTAGAACAATTGTGCGGCACAAAAGAGCTGCTTGCTGCTTCTGATGGCACCAAGTCCTCATCGATTTTCTCCATGGACCATCCCAAGTTGTTAAACGTGATTTGCTGAAGGTAAAATGGCTTGATCATGTTGCATTTGAAGTCCAAGAACATCGGTTTCTGGTCAGGAAACTGTCGGATAGCCCTGCCCCCGGGTTTGGTACATATGCAGTGGACAAGTCAAAGTTGCTGGAAACATGTGATCATGATTTCTTGCCTTCCCTGATTTCCCACGAGCCATATCTCAAGAAGAGCTGAATAAGGGCTGCAAATGCATTTCCTTGATGCTTGAAGAAAGGGGTCCAATCAATATAACTTGAAAGCTAAAGCTGTTAACAAGTTGTAGTTATGGACGGCCCTACGGTATTCTGCATGCATGTGTCAACCCACCAGGGCAGCTGATTGACATATCTTGTTAATGAGTGTGATGAACCTAAGACGGCTTCATTTTGCACGGAAATGCTGCCCAGATCAGACCAGGTGCTGACCGCGCCAAAATCATGGATGAGTTGCTGGTGGTGAGTGCTGGTCTCGAACAGGCACAGTCATGAAGATGCTGTCCAAGACTGGCACTGTTCAATTTGGCAGAAGGACATGGCAAACGAAGGCGCAGATTGCAACCCGCCTTGGACAGCAAACAGCTGAATCCATCGTATTGTGGCGCACAAAGAGGCTTCTCCTGACTGCCAGCACGAGATCAGGCCCCATCCAGATGCACCGAACTGCAAGGACAAGGTTGACAAATTATTCTCAACAAGTCCCACACTCACGATCTGAACTTCAGGGATATCGATATTGAAAAACGGTGAGAGCAATGTTGAAGAAAGAGCCTGCTGCAAAATGCATTGAATGAATTGCCTAGGGCCTAGGGGCATGTGTGGAAACATGAAAAAACAAGTGGCAAGTCATAGCGCGACCGTGTTGCAATTGCATGCATTGGCAAAACCCTTGGTCGAGGACTCCCGGCAATACTATGTTTTGGACACCGATGGCCAAGAGGATCGTGAAGAGGAGTCCATGAAAAAAACTTCGTTGCTGAGGATTATGATGCCGAGCCCAATGGGCCACCCAACAAGAAGCAGGCACCTGGAAATGCAGCAAGGCAGCTGCCAAGCCTAAGCCTGGAGCAAAGAAGGCCTCAATTTGCGTGCTGTAAAGTGGGCTTGCAAACACAAAGCCTGTCTAATTTGCTGTTGCGGCATCATTACTTGCAATTAAGTTTGAATCCTAGCTGCATGCGTATGCATACATTATTCATACATGAATCGAATGTGCTCTGCAATGCTGGTATCCAGGCCGAGAAATCGCAGGAGGAAAAGGACACGGAAGAGCTGGCGCGCAGTGCCAAGAAGGCTGCATGGGGTTGCCATGTTTTGGGGCAACACTCAGACAATCCTATATTAATGATCGTTGTTTACATGGGCCAGAAGATGTCGCTGGCCAACAAGAAGATTGACGAAGCCAACAACGTTCAGAATGCCGATCCGCAAACGTTGCAAATGCCTTGGCCTGAGGACTTAGTCATGACAGCCTGCCTGGTAAGCGCGTCGCTCCCGAACGCTGGCAAAACCATCGCTTCAGAACGCTGAAACAAAATCGCTTCGGAACGCCGGAAAACGTACTAATCGCTTCGGAACGCTGGAAGTGGAGCCACGTGCCACGCGCAGCACCGAGACACCGGCCCAGAACCAGATTAATTTGCAAATTCATCTGGTTCTGGGGGCGGGGGGTGGGGTGGGGGGGGGGCATGATAAGCACACCCGCTGAGCTCTATACCCAAATGTGCAAATCATCTGGTTCTGGGGGTGGGGGGTGGGGGGGGGGCATGATAAGCACCCCCCAAAGCTCTATTTTTCAAATGTGCACATTTGGGGATAGAGCTTCAACGGGTGTGCTTATCATGCCCCCCCCCACCCCCACCCCCCACCCCCAGAACCACATGAATTTGCACATTTGGGGATCGAGCTTCAGCGTGTGTGCTTGTCATGGCCCCCCCCCCCACCCCACCCCCCACCCCCAGAACCAGATGAATTTGCACATTTGGGTGTAGAGCTTCAGCGGGTGTGCTTATCACCCCCCCCCCCCCCCCAGAACCACTAGATTTTGCACCCAGATGCACCGAACTGCAAGGACAAGGTTGACAAATTATTCTCAACAAGTCCCACACTCACGATCTGAACTTCAGGGATATCGATATTGAAAAACGGTGAGAGCAATGTTGAAGAAAGAGCCTGCTGCAAAATGCATTGAATGAATTGCCTAGGGCCTAGGGGCATGTGTGGAAACATGAAAAAACAAGTGGCAAGTCATAGCGCGACCGTGTTGCAATTGCATGCATTGGCAAAACCCTTGGTCGAGGACTCCCGGCAATACTATGTTTTGGACACCGATGGCCAAGAGGATCGTGAAGAGGAGTCCATGAAAAAAACTTCGTTGCTGAGGATTATGATGCCGAGCCCAATGGGCCACCCAACAAGAAGCAGGCACCTGGAAATGCAGCAAGGCAGCTGCCAAGCCTAAGCCTGGAGCAAAGAAGGCCTCAATTTGCGTGCTGTAAAGTGGGCTTGCAAACACAAAGCCTGTCTAATTTGCTGTTGCGGCATCATTACTTGCAATTAAGTTTGAATCCTAGCTGCATGCGTATGCATACATTATTCATACATGAATCGAATGTGCTCTGCAATGCTGGTATCCAGGCCGAGAAATCGCAGGAGGAAAAGGACACGGAAGAGCTGGTGCGCAGTGCCAAGAAGGCTGCATGGGGTTGCCATGTTTTGGGGCAACACTCAGACGATCCTATATTAATGATCGTTGTTTACATGGGCCAGAAGATGTCGCTGGCCAACAAGAAGATTGACGAAGCCAACAACGTTCAGAATGCCGATCCGCAAACGTTGCAAATGCCTTGGCCTGAGGACTTAGTCATGACAGCCTGCCTTCCCCAAATGCTTTATGCCCCATTCGCCCGCCAATTGTTGGACTTTGATCTAAACATGAAAGCATGTGCATAGTCAGCGTGCTGGGGGCAAGCTGCGCTCCTGAAAAACATCGAGGCATCGCTGCAGAACATGACGACCTGGAAGGATGCCTTGGGCAAAGCATTGGAGAACAGGCTCGCCC